GCAGAGTCAGAGCTTGGAGTGAGATTGGGCTTTGATGTTGCCTTGCTGCTCACAGGGATGCTCTCTCCAGGGAGCATCTAGCCCCAAGGCTGGGGCAGGGGCTGTGGCACCCCATGGCTCTGGTCTGGGGGTTGATCCAGCGGGGCTGGAGGGGCTGCAGCACAGGGCCAGAGCAGGGGGGTCCCTCTGGGAATCCTGACAGCCCCAGGCTCCAGCAGCAGGACAGAAGGGTGAAGTCATGCCCATGTCATCCCATCCATCTCTGCCGCTTGCAGGCTGGTCCCGGGGGAAGTGCAGGCTTTGGCAGCTCTAAGTGGGGTTGGAGGCGGATGCAATTCTGGAGAATAAGATTCCGTTGCAAACCTGTAAAATAAAAAAAAAATTAAACTTCTTGGCTGAGGAGCTTGTTTAGAGATCTTATCTCTGGCAGAGGAAATAATTCTTAATTCCCTCCCTTGCTGCCTCCCAGCAGTTTCTGGGTCCCCAGAGGGGCACAGGTCTGTCAGGAAACGAGCTGGGGAAGCAGCTTTTGTTCACGGAACTGAGACTGACCCGAAGTGGCTCTGGGTGAAGCTGCTGCTGCTGCCACGTGCAGTCCCTACTGTGGGGAGAGGCAGGTGGGGTGTGCGTGGGGTGGGCAGACTGCACAATGCGTTTGAGACAGATTGCAGGCAAAAATTACATTTTTTGAAGCGTTGGGTGGAATCAGGAGGTGGTTTGGGCAATGCTGATCCCTCTGCTTCATCCCCAGGGTCCTCTGGGCAGGGCTGCCTGGGCTCTGCAGAAGGAAGAATGGGGGGCTGCACTGCTCCTGTCTGAGCTGGTGAGCTGCTGGGATATTGTGTGCAATGGGATAAAATGCATTTAAGCTTGGTGCCATCCACAGCCTTGTCTGCTGTGTGGCAGAGCACTGGGGCTGGGCTGTCCGAGGACCCTCATGACTGTCCTGCCATTGAACAGGGGGGCAGAGGGTGAGGAGGGTCCAGGCTTCTGCCTCCCAGTGGGTCAGTGGGGAGAGCAGAGTCCCTGCTCACTCAGCTTTTGTCCCTTGTGTTCATTGTCACCTCCGCCCGCACCGAGAGCCTCCTCTGAGTCATCTCCCGGCTCAATGGAGTGTGTGGGCTTAGTGCAGCTTTAGCTGTTCATCCTCTGCTGTGCTGATGCCTGACACGGGCAAGTGGAGCAATTTATAGTGTGGGGATGAGGCAAATGAACGTCCTTTGCCGATACAATGGACCTTGCTCTCCTCCCACCAGCTCAAGCAGCAGCTTCCATCTGAGCTGGTGTCACTGCAGCCCAGCGAGGGCTGCTGAAGTGGCTGCTGCTTGAGGAGCTCAGGAGATCTTAAAAGAAATATGGACTTGTTTTATGATGAATGACACAGTGCTTAGCTGTAAAACACAGCCTCTGTGGAGAGGAGGCTCTTGAAAATGTTCCTGTGTGCAAGCAGTGAATAGAGCAAAGCCATGGCTGCAGCTGCACCTCACCTCTTCTCTGAGGTTTAATCCTGCCGGATGAGGTTGGTGCTGGCACTCAGGACTGTGACTGGCCTCATCACCAGAGTGGCTGCCAGGGCTGTCCTTGCCTTTCTCACCCTGGCCCTGCTGCCTGATCATGGCCTTTGCCACGTGCAGTTCTGCCCCAGAATGTGCCCCACTCCTGGTCCCTGAGGAGCATAGGGCTGGTGGCCCCTGGGGGATTCTGTCAGCTGTCAAATGCTTGAAGCACCTTTGTGGAGTTCAGCAAACCTCTTTGCATATGAAATAGCAGGTCTCCAGAGAGCAAATCCAGAGTGAAATATCTCTCCTGGTGACTGACATCAACTTCCTCATTAATGGTGCTTTTCTGCTGTGCTGTGTGGTCACCTGCCCTTACCAGCTCCTTACCTGCAGCACACGTGAGAGCTGAGGCAGGCTCCAAGCCCAAGCTCCTGCTGGGGTTCAGTTTCATCCCATTTGCAAGGGCTGAGCTGGGAGTCAGGGGCCGTGGGGCTCACGGAGCACATTTTGTGTCTGGTCACAGAGATGAGTGAGATGCCATGAGCCTGGAGTCAACATGATCCTTATCACCGGTGTAGCTTAAACCAGAGGGAAGTCACAGGAGCAGAAGTGTTCTTGGAGGTGCCACAGCACTTGTGACAGAGGTTTTGGGGGTGCCTGCATTTGGTGGGGATCAGTAGTGTAGCACAGCGGGTCTCTGCAGCTGCACTTGTCACCAGGGCAGGGACAATCCTGGGGCTTGTCCCACACTGGGGGCCAGTGTGACTGGAGCCAATGCAGCCCCTTCCCTTCCCTGCCTGCAGGCAGGATGCTCTGGGCAGGACTGGGGGGGGATGTTTGAGCCCCCCAGGCTGCCCCTCACAGTGGGTGCCGTGCAGTCAATGCCCGAGATAACCCAGCAGGAAACGGGGAGGAAACGCAGCTTGGGGCCCCTCTGCCAGCCCGCGAGCGGGGCCGCTCTGGCCCCTCGGCATCGCTCCGGCTGTGCTCTTCCAGCCTCCCTGCGGCCCCACTGGGCTGAAAACATCCATTTTAGGTGCCTGTCGGCAGCGATTAAGGCGCACAATGCTGACGGCCGTGCGGGGGGAGCCCACGGCCACGCTGGGGCTGCCGCAGGGGGAGCGGAGCGGAGGACTGGCTGCCCTGCACGTCCCAGCGCTGCCGCGGGTCGTGCGAGGCTGCGGGGCCGTTACGCAAGGGCCGGCGGGTGCCGGGACATCCTGTGTCCCACGCCGGCTCGGGCTGGCCCCAGGCTGCTGGGCTCCTGTGGACATCACCCACAGGAAAACTTCCCGTGGCTGCAGGACTTTCAGCCTCGTGATGCTTTTCTCATCGTGGATGGCAGTTGTGGCACCGGAGGCTCCCAGATGTCAGCAGCTTGGTCATCTGGGATTTGGGCAGAGGATCCGTACAAAGGGAGAAACTGATTGTGGCTACTCAAGTGGCAGTTCTGCTGGGCATTTTCCTTGTGGGGTTTGCAGGCACCTCCAAGAGTGGGTGACTGGCTGCTGGTCCTTTCTGAACCATGGGGTTGCCAGCTTGTGGCCAGATGGGGAGGAAGGGGCAGGATGGGGAGGTGTTTCTGTACAGGCAGAGCCAAGCTTGCCTGTCCCGCTAATCACAGTGTCCTACTTGGTGTCTGCATCAAGAACGGGGCTAATCCTAATCCAGGGCAAGGATAAAGGGCCACAAGTGCCGCATGCCAGGGAGCCACGTTCTGGTTGGCCCTGGCCACGGTGCCTTGGTTTACTGCCCTAAGCCCCAAGGTCAGTCCAGCTAGCCCAGTTCCAGTTTGGGCTTAGCTGGACCTGCCTTCCAGGATGGAGCCAGAGCTACTTTAGGGCCTTGGTCTGCACACTGCTGCCAGCACAGCAAAGGACAAACACACAGAGCTCAAGTTTCAAGTTGTGTGTGGCTTTTCAACCCCATCAAATAGCTTTATTCACACAAACGTCCCTTAATTTACAAAGCCTCTGCCATTCATACACATCAGGGGATCCACAGTGTTCAGAAAACTTAAATAAAACATTTCATACCAACCCAAGGAAACCAAGTACAAAAAATATTTATATAAAGTTGTTCACACATAGGTCCTAGATAACCAGCTTCTGTGCAAAAAAAAAAAAAAAACCCAAAAAAAACAAACCAAACAAAAAAAAAAAACCAAAAAAAAACAAACCAAACAAAAAAAAAAAACAACAACCAAAAAAAACCCCAACAAAAAAAACCAGATTAATTTACTAATATTATCTTTAGTCTGGAGTCTGGGTTTAAGCCTTCTGCTCTTGCTAGCTCAGCACAGGAGCTGTGGGGAGCAGGGAGAGCCCTCAGCAGGGCTGGGCAGTCATGAGCCCCCGTCCTGGAGCTCACCCAGAACCCTTCTGGTGTGGTAGTGAAGCAGCTCACCCTGCAAAGCTGCTGTTTTCTGCTGGGTGAGTGAGCTGAAGGTCCATGCTTGCCTGGGCAGCTGCAGGGAATAGGTGCCAGGCTGGGGCCACCAGGCACTCCTGTGTGGCCCCTGTGAGCTCTTCCAGCAGCCTAGACACCCTCAGGGCTAAAAGCATTTGTGCAGGCTGCAGAGAAATGATCTGGCAGATCACAGCTGGAAGAGAGCAGCTCCCTGCACTTCCCTTCCAGCTACACCCACCAGACACCCTGCCCTGAAGTGAGAAATGCTTCTGGACATGAAGAGCCCACATGCTGGATGTGCCTGTAACCAGCTGAGGAGCACAGGAGACACTGGCACGACTCCTCCCAACACCAGTGGCACAAGCATTGGCTGCACCCCTGTGCAAAGGAAATGGGGCTCTGCTTTCCCCATGGCTGATGGGATGGGGGCTGTGAGGAGTGGAGCACTGAGCTCTGCTCACCCACCCCATGCCAGCATTGCCAAAAAGGGCACCAGGAGCACCCTTGCCCTGGGCAGCTGTAGTGTGAGGTTTGGGCAGCACAGGCCTGGGGTAAGGAAGGAAAGCAGCAGCATTTCCCTGTTCTCCTGACCTGCAGAAAGCCCAGGGAAACAAATCCCAGTTTGTGCCCTGCAGCAGCTCCCCTGTGAGGCTTGGCAGGCTTAAACCCAGACTCGTACTGCATACGGAGGAGACAGACACTGCACACAACGGAGGATTTCCACGACGATGGTAACGCTTGTTTTACATCTTATTGCTCCAGAAAGGCTCTGGGAGCCTGTGATATGTGAAGGAGCTGGGTCCTGAGGAGTAGAGGAAGACCACAGGGGTAACTTATCTGTCACTAGCACTGCTGAACCCCAAACACAGCAGCAAGTGGATACAGGGGAGCTAATCTAACCCCTCTAGGCTACAGCCACCTCTGCTTTCCTCCCCACGGACCGAAGCTGGCCGGGAGATCCCCGTGACACCTGCATGATGCCGGTGGTGTCGGCCTTGCTGCAGGCTGGTGCAGATAACACGGTTCCCAATCCTCCTGAGGCTTGGCTTGTTCCCCCACCCACCCCACATCCCTCTTGTAAACAGCAAAATCAGAAGTAAACAGTTTCATACAATCACTCCCCTGGCATGGGCACCATCTGGGGCCACATGAGCCCAGAGAGCTCTGCAAGGGGGGCTTGGCTCCCCCCACACTAACCAGCTACCCCCAGCACCTGGATGCTCAGCTTCACTGCAGCCAGGAAGAGACAAACAGCATGGCCCTGGGCTGGGAAATGGGCCACAGGCTCGGGGCTGCTTTCTTAAACTTGGATTTTCCCAGCAGTGCATCCTAGTGCCAAACATCCACAGCAGAGGAGGAAGTTTGGCCTGCAGGGGCTGGGCAGGTGAGACCCAAAAGACCCACCTGGGAAGAGAAGCCTAAACATTCTCCATCTCACAGCATATGCAGGTTTGAGCTGTTCCTGTTCCCACATTGTTCTAGAGGGAGTGCTGGTCTGGGCCAAAGTAACTGAGGGAGAGATGTGGGGAGCTGTAAACACAAGGCAGGTTCCTATATAGTCTGGGGAGTTGAGCACAAACAGCAGCAAAATCAGAGAGAAATGCTCTTAAAAGGACAAACTAATCAGGGAAACATCCACATTGGCCAAAGGCTAGCAGCCCTAGGACTCCTCCTTGGAAGTGTTTGCTAAATCCTAAGTAAGGCACTACGGTCTAGCTCACTAACATCAAGCTGCTTGAAAAACACATCTGCAATGCAAAAGCTGAGGTGGAGACGTGTGGTTTGAAGATGGCCTGAAACAGCAGTGCACCAAGAGGGCCGACCCTCCCAGGGCCTGCTGGACTCACTCCTGTCCTGAGAAGAACAGGGCAATCCAGTTGCTGCCTTCCAGCTTCACCTCCTGCCCCCTTACTGCACCCGCTCAGGCCAGGGTTCGGTTAGAACAGCTGTAACAGTCAGGAGCAAAGGCTCTGCCAGGTGGAGGACGTATGGTCCAGTGATCAGGGCACTAACACTGCACTTGTGAGCTAAATGGTTCCCTCTCCCCTTCCTGTGGGATGCAGCACAGGAAGCTGCAGGAATCCCACCCAGCTGCAGTGCATAGAAGCATCCCTAGGGACAAACACATGCACAGTGTGAAAACAAGGGCTTGGCAGTGTATTTGGGCTGTCCAAACCTTCACAAGTCACGGACAGCCACTCTGGAGCCTCCTGGTCCTCCTAAGAAGGACCAGGCCTTCCTGCAGCCACAGTTATAGCTTTGTGTCCTGGGAAAGATGGAAGAGAAGAAAGAAGCCCCTCCATCCTTTCCCTGCTCTGCCTGAGCCTACCTGAATTTCCTCCATTTCCATTCCTTCCTGTGAGGACAGCATAGTACACTGAGGAGATACATGGAGGTGCTGCCAGTTAGGAACCTTCCAGTGATGGCAGAGGAAAGCTGCAGGCAAGGAGCAGTTCCCACAGCCAGGGATGAGGGGGACCCTCTCCTGCTTGTGACCATGGGCAGCTCCAGACTGAGTACCCTGACAGATCAGCAGTGATGCTGGGTCAGACCAGCCCACTTCCCAAACCACTGCTGGCGATTTCACCTGCTGAGAAACATTTTAGGTGGTTCAGAAGCTGCAGGGTAGAGAAGAGGTGGTGCTTTATATTGCATTTACAGTGAGCAAAGTGTAAAGATCATCAACACAGGGCAGCCCCAGAACAGGAGTTTTGCTTTAAATATAGGCAAGGAAATTGAGTTTTAACTGCTCTGCCTGAGGTTCCAATCTCCTGACCTGAGCTGTACTGTACTGTAGCCTATCCTGAACAGCAGCATTGCCTTTTGCTTCCTGAAGATCATTAGCTAGCAGAGGAAAGTGTCCTGTGGGAGGCTAGAATCCAGCCCATGACCCATTAGGCCAAACCTCCTTCTCTCCACAGCATTCCTATTGACTGAAGTTTGGCATTAAATGGATCAGAGCAGTGAACTGCTTTCTGTTTCTTTTGTACTCAGATGATGTCAACCTGAAAGTGTACTCAGCAGCTCCCCAGTTCCCTCTGTATAGAAAGACAGTAACAAAGATGATCATGAAATCCAGCTTGGGAAGACCTGCTTTGCCAAATGGCTTTCCAGCTTGTTTATCCTACTCTGTCCTAATGTCAGCTGCTCACAAGCCTGGGCAGCACCACCTATTCAGGAGCTGCCTGGCTATGAAGTTATTTAGCTGCTTGCAACATGTGGTCCAAGAGACTCATTTTTCCTAAAGCACTGCACTCCCAATGCAAACCTAGCCACCACTTTGCTCCCATTTTCCCTAGGCAAAATCAATAGCTGTAAACCCAAAACTGTGCCCAGCTGGACTCGGAGCTGGTACCTGGCAGTACACCTCACCATCAGGCTGCTGATTCCCACTTCCTTACAGAACCACATCCCTAGAAACATCTACTGAGTCAAACAGCAGCTCAGGAGACACGGGGAGGGCTGGGCAAGGGCAGCTCTGCTCTCAGGATCATGTTTCAAAGTCTCATGAGTGTGACAGCTGCCAGCTCGTGTTCTTCCACAGGCACCTGCAGCCCCCTCCCAGACACCCACAACACCCTTCCCAACACAAAAAATTAACACCCAAATATTTCACATTGCCAGAGATCCTGTAGACCAGGGATCTTCTCTATCGTCATCTTCCCTTATCTTTGACTTCCTTGTTGCACGTAAATAATGGAGATTATGGGTCCCTGGTAAATAAATCTGCAAGAAAAAAACAAGAGAGGAGAAAGAGGTCAGGTTTGTCAGTGGTTTGTCTCAGTTACTACATTGTGACTGCAGGCATTGGTTCCTGAATGGAAGGGGTGCAGGACACCACTTCTGCCACCTGCCCACTTATCCCAGTTAGCCCAAAACACGTGCTGCCACTTCTCTCTACTGCCCAGTGCTTTGGCTATTGATCCAGATAGGAACTGGGCTCAGTTTACAGCCATTTTTTTTTCCCAAAAGGACTCAGACAGCAGTGCATGGAGCACACAGCCAAGGACAGCACACATTCAGCTGCCCCAGGGCGGGGGCTGAGCAGGGACAGACTGGCTGGAGATGAGCATCTCCTCACACCCCCACAACACAACCCCATCCCACACAGCTCCCTGCAGTGACAGTCCTGCTGGAACAAGCACAAGTGTTCCCACAGCAGAGCCTGGCCTTGAGAGTCCACGTGATGTGTCTGTGAGTGCTGGCTCCATGCACTCCACCAGGAAAGGTGGAACAAGCTGCAACCCCAGAGATGCCCTGCACCACTCTCCTGCTGCGTCAGCAGCAGCTCGGGCATCGTGAGTGGCTCTGCAAAAGGTGAGTAAAATCCACGCTGGTGCAACTGGAAGCACAGTAGGAGGGGTCTGGTGGGTAAAATCCAGGTTGGTGCAACTGGAAGCACAGTGGGAGAGGTTCACAGCTGAGCCCACAAAGATGCTCAGTGCCAAGGATTTTAGAGTTTAGAGTTTTAGAGGTAGATTTGCTGCACCAATGCTTGCTTTGGCCAAAGCCTCAACACACAACAACCCTCACAACCTGTAGCAGCAGAGGTGCTGCACACATTCATCCACAGCCCTGGCACCCTCCTTGCTCCGAGCTCAGGGACATGGGAATGCTCAACTCTGCACATAAGCTACCAGCATTTTCCACATAGTTTGTTTGCAACCCAGAAAATTCCCTGTGGACAGCAGAAGAACAGCACACCTACATACACATGATGTCACTTCTGTACTGAAAATACATCCTTTAGGATGTCCCAAACTCAAGGAGGCACCAACAGAGCTGAGGGCAGTGGTTGTGCTGGGAAGCAGCGGGGGTGGTCCCCGAGCACTAAACTCAGACAGTTAGATGGGGAAAAAAATATGGGGGGTGGATTTAGCTCCTCCATCCAGCAGGAGCAGGTCCCACCCCACCAGGGATGGGTGGGGGGCTCTGCAGAGACACCAAGGGAGCAGTGGGAAAGACCCGCTGCAGAAAAAATGCTACTGCCCAGCAAATTACTCCAATACCTTAGCCCTAGGAAATCTCATTAAAGAAATCCCTGCCTGAGGAACACATTTCTAAAGGACAAGGCTGCTCAGAGCAGAAGGCAAGGTCGTGGGCACACTCCTTTCCAGGAGAGGTTAACCAAAGGGATGCCACTTTTGCAGGCTGCCATTGGAATAAAGCCTTTCTTTTGAAGTTTGAGGAGGCGAGAGGCACGCAGACATCAGGTCAGGCCAAACACACAAGGATTCTTCTGGAAGGTTTCTCCTATTATGCAGCTTTGTTAGCAAGTAGGGCAGGGTTTCTGTTTGTGCTTCCCTGGAGTAGGAACATTATCAGGGAAGGTGCTTGCTTGAGCAGCCCTGAGCTCACTGCTCTGAGACAGGAGAGCTCGCCCCACTGACGCACATTTTTGCAGGGGCTTGTTCAAGAGCTTTTAATCCCTCCACTGATGCCACTTATAGTTTTAATCAGCTCGAATGTTCATTCGGCATCAGCAGGATGTGAACCAGCAGCCCATGGAGCCCTCACCCAGCACACAAGATGACTCCAATGTGTGGTCACACACAGGGGCAGTGGGGTCTCACGGCAGAGGAGGGAGAGAGAACCCAGCAGCTCCTGCTGTTAACCAAGTAGTCTGCCCCGTGTGGGAACACAGAGCACAAGGGAAGGGAGCTGAGTGCCTGATTTATCTCCTGAGCCTTCCCTCATGCTCTGTACCTATACTTGTGATGAATTCCTTGGGTGAATCCTTAAATCCAGCTGCAGTGACCTCCCCCCGAAGGTAAAGGAGGGGTGACAGCGAGCAAACACAAACACCAATACAATTGGCCAGAGGTGACATGGTCCAGGTCCCCTCAGGGCTTTATTTCTCCCCAGGGAGAATCAAAACTGCCCAAAAGGGTGTCACCACTCCATGGGGTGGCCCCTGTGATGCTGCATTCACTGCTATGGCTAAGAGGAACTGACCTTACTTTTACTGTCTATGGCTTTTGTCCATGCCAAAATCCACAAACCACACTGAAAACAGTCCAAAGTCAAAACCAACATTGTTTTAGGAATGAAATTGCTGTCCTTTAACAGGCCAGTGAGTAAAACTTGAGCTGAGTGATATTAACAGCCAAGATCTAACTTGATGCAGCAGAACCTGCACACTGACAGCTCTCAGAGCTGTGTCCCTGATCCCTGTCCTTCCTTCAGCTCTGAAATTCCACAGGGCAGCAGTTTATCAGCTGTGCTGGGGGTGGCTGGGCCCAGCACCAGAGAGCTCTGGCCAGGGTAGACACCATCATGCAGGGTGAGCAGATAAGCTTGTTCAGCATCAGCTCCTGGTGCACGTGTAAAATGCAAAGAGCAGAACAATGCAAATACAAACAGCCACTTTCAGCTGAAACTGGAATAATCAAACCCAGAGACAGAGAAGTGCTGGAGAGAACCAGACTGGCCACAGCTATTGAACACCTTCCTGCTCATGACAGCCCCTGAGATGCTGCAGCCTGCACAGATTCTTGCCATTCATCTTGAGCATCCACCCAAAATCAGACCAACTGTTTTATCCACAGTGAAAATATAATGGAATACAAATCTACCAGAACAAGCTGCTTCTACACTAATAACAACCATTGTAGTTTGATGTCCTGTGTGAATCAAAACTACAAAGTTTCTTAAACACATAACTGTCAGTGGTGGGTGATGCTGTACTCGCCCTTTGTGTTTGTGGCCAAGGGCCCTGTGTCACTGCAGGGAGCAGCCAAAGGCCACACTGCCACTGAACCTTTTTCCTCTACAACCTGTCTAAGGGTTGCACAAAGCCACCCCATCAGAGGATCCCACCAGAGCAGCATCTCCAGGAGGCCCCTCATCATCCTCAGGGCATCTAGAGGACAACTACCAAAGTGACACAGAAAGAAAGATGTTTACATTGCATGAAAGGAGAGTCATTCCAGCCTTCCAGTACTGGGAAGGAAGTGTGAAATACTCTCCAGTGGGCAGTGCAGTTAGTGCTGGGCTATCACAGAAAGAGACCCATCAGCAGATACCCAGCACAACCCAGCCACTCCCTAATTGTACTAGAAAGGCTTTTGTTCTCTTTGCCCAAAAGGCAGCTTTTGCCAACAACTCTAGAGAGCTGTAGATAAACTTGGCTTTATCTAAACATTTGCAGAAGGTAGGGAAGAAGTGTCCAAATCAAAAAGAGAATACCTTTGTTTTTCCCACAGAAATGTTTCCTATCTCTGCTGGAACTATTTGCACCAGTGCCACTAGCGGTGGGAAAAGCAAGGAGATGAGTTATCTCCACCTCAGACAGCCCAGTGTCCAGCAAAAACCAAGCCAAAAACACTTTCCTCTCTGAGAACTGACATTTCCTATCTGCATTTTGGAAGGGTAACAGAGCACGAAGCTCTCAGGTGCGTGTAGCATCCGTGGCAGAACTAAAGCTGAAGCTGCTGAGACATGAAGCGAAATCTGAAGAGGTCAGTGGCATAGCAAAGAATAAGCAAAAATCCAATTCCCTGGGTCAGGGAGGGTTACAGTTTTCCAGGTTATGACATGAACCAAAGCTGAGCAGGTCTGAACTGTCCTGGGGAAGAACATGCTGCATGACCCAGCATAGCAAAGCTACACACCAGTGCCACAAATAAGTTGGAAGAGGTTACGTGAGTTTCTCGGTCAACTAAAATTACCTGAGAGCAGAATTCAGGCTCTGCTCTAAATCCCATTTTAAGCTTCTCAAGCAGGTTTCCAATTTAAGATTTGCATTTAATAGCAGCCAGAAGAAGGCTGATTAGAATACACAAGTACACCAGGAAAACCATACAGCAAAGTGCACCATGTATTCTGGCTGCCCCACGAGCGAGGTGGAGGAACACTCTGGGTTTGCAGGAACATATGGCTGGTGCTGGGCTCTATCTGGGCCAAGTGACCACGCTCCATGTGCCAGGTTGGGTTATGTAAGAGCATCCCTGGCTGCCGCAGCTGTGTCACGACTGAGAGACCGGTGCAGACTCATGGATGGAGTTGGGGGGGCTGCAGAAGGCAGCTGGGTTTGAGCAAACAGCCGCGGGGTAGGACTGTCCCCTCGGTGTTTGTTATCCCTTCATGTACTATTCCGCAGATCTGCGCAGGATGAATTTTCCCCCGAGGGCAGGGGCTGGTTGCATAACGCAGCAGCATCGTGTCAGCACAGAGCCAGCGCAGATGGCACAGCCCGGCCTGACCCTCCACGTGCGGCAGAGCTGCTCCCACAGCCCCACGCCTCGCCCCGGGGCACAGGGCAGGGTGTCTGCTCCTCCCCGGGGCTGGAGCACACCCATATTAAGGGCTCTCATGTCCACAGATTCACTCCCCCACCCTAATCCCCAGCCCGCACTTGCACTGGGACCAGTATCCAGCCCCGGGCAGCAGTGCTTGAATCAGTTACTCGCACTTGAGATGGGTGTTAAGTATTTTGTGTGTGGAAGAGTGCAGAGGGGATGGTCTGTGGACCAGTTTGGACAGACCAACAGAGAAGAACAAGACCCACCCAATAAGTCTTTCAATTTCCATCCCTGTTTCTCTACAAACAGCACAGAGTGTACCTGGGCACACAGAGAAAGGGGGGGTCAGGCACCACAGTTTTTTCCATAAGCTCAGGAACCCTCAGGTGGCAGCAATGAGGGATTTTAGCAAAATCTGCCGAAATACCTTCACCTTCCCCACTGCCTGCTGCTGGGGGCTTGCTCTCAGAGCTGGACAAGCACACAGCCATCAGCTGAGGGCTGGTGAGTGCTGGCCAGGGACATGATTTCCTCCCTCTGCCCTCTTGCATCCATGGTCAGCTCCAGCCCAGCTGGCTGTGTGTGGTTTTGGGGTGAGGTGAGGGCTGGGCCCAAGCTGTGATGCCAGCACCTACACAGGCAGGCTGTCAAAGATCTCCTGGGACCAGTGATGGGCAAGCAGCTCTGCAGGAGCCTGAGAAAGGATGTGGGCTGGAAAGACGTCAGCCTCACCCCTGGTAATCTGTAATTCTTCAGTTTCATTGAAATGCTTGGCTGGGAGAATCCCTAGTAACAGCTTCTGTTTACAGACAGCTTTGCCATGTAGGCAACACCTCCCAGTCCTTCTGTGTCACTGGTGAGGGACACTGCCAGCTAAACCACATCCCTGGGGTTATGCCAGACCATGTGTGACCACCCAGGCCTCAGGATCAGGACCTCTGAGCTTGAGACTGTTTAGCAGGGGGGGAGAAGGGAAGGGACTCTGGACAGAGCTGAGCTCAGTCTGAGGAGAGCTGTTTTTAAGCTTCCTTCCTTAGCAGACACAGGTCTACAAACCCAGATGCTGGAGACCAAAGTATCTCCTGCGTTTGGGCCACTGATGTTCACACCAAGGGGAAGTCCTGCCTTTAATAGGGAAATGAAACAGAGCCACAAGATGGACCCATGTGCCTTGTAGGTGAAAGCAAAGAGTTCTGTGCCAAGACAGATGTGCCACTTGGTGCCTACTAACTGAGCCAGCTGGGCCCCGAGGTGTCCAAGTGTCACAGGCGAGGGGGATGGTGCTAGATAGGGAGTTCCAGCACAGACTGTGGAAATTACATTACACAGCAGAGGAGGCACAACTGGCAGATCCTTCCCTGACCCTGAGAGAGACAGATGTCACCAAAGCTTGTACCAAGTGCTTGCAGGTGTCTCTGCTGTGCCCCAGCCTGTCTCAGCCACCAGCCAGGACCTTTGAGGAGCAAGGCTCCTGCCCACCCCCTCCAGCTCTACTGGGCCCTTGGGCAGTGACAGGATGTGCAGCTGCTACTTCTATTTCTCACCTCTACTTTATTTCTGCAGTAGAATAGGTGAAAACAACCTCAGAAGCAGTGCTCTGATGAGTCACTGTAGAAATAGCTCTAGGAACATAAAAGACTCCTTTGTGTCATTACAAAGTGCACTATTGGGCCAGTATACCCAACAGAAAGAAGACAAGAAATGCAAATCACTTACCCAGCTGCAAAGCACAGCGGTGCCCTGCCCTGAATTTAAGCAGCACATGTAACCTGGTCCATTCTGGTTTCAAGCTCAAAGGCATCAGGTCGATCCTGTGGGTTAGCAGCCAACATGTCTTTCAAGAGCTGCTTGATCCCCTCAGACATGGAAGTCCTGCGTTTCTGAGGGATGTGCAGCTCCATCTTTGGGTTTTCTAGCAGCGCTTCCCCAACGGGCACAATCTCGGTCCCCTGCTTGATGTAAGTTCCCAGCAGCTCCTTCTTGGTCTCGGCGTCAATGAAGGTGATCCTCTCAATCATGGCCCAGATGATGATGCCGAGGGCAAAGATGTCAGCCTTGGCAGTGTAGTGTCCCTCCCACACCTCGGGTGCCATGTAGAAATCAGAGCCACAGGCCGAGGACAGCCAGTACTTGTTCACATTCACATTTTTGTTCTCGTGCCCACCCTCCTTGCCCCGAGCAGTCAGGCCAGCACAGACCTTGCTCAGCCCAAAGTCAGCCACCTTGAGCACAGGGGTGCCAGATTTCTCAGTTATCAGGATGTTGTCTGGCTTCAGGTCCCGGTGGACAATGTGGTTCTTGTGCAGGAAGGCAATGGCGCTGGTCAGCTGCAGCATGAAGCTCTTGTTGGTGGCAGGGTCGGGCCTTCGGGACAGCACGTACTGGTTGAGGTCTCCCCCTTCGCAGAACTCCATGACGAACCACAGGTAGCAAGGCTCCTCTGCATAGCCCAGGATCCTCTCACCTGACCAAAAGGGATAAAAGAGTGAGTTTTTCAGACACATTTCAAAGCCCATGTTAACCCAGGATGGCTGAGGAACAGGTCTGGTTTATGTGGACAGCAAAAATTCGAGTGAGTTTTTCAGACACATTTCAAAACCAAAGATGGCTGAGGAACAGGTCTGGTTTATGTGGACAGCAAAAATTTCAGGAATGTGACTGGGATCTATTGCACTGCAGGGCACCAGCAAGGATGCTGGCACTGCTGTGGCTTCAAGTGCTTTGGGATCCTGTTGAGCAGGACACACCAGCACCATGTTTATCCAAACCCAGTGCTGGGAACCAGCTCAGGGACATCCTCCTAGCAGAGTGCAGAGAACACATCATCTTCAGTCCTACCAGCAGGCCATTCTCCCCAGGCTCTGACAGCCAAAGCAGCAGAGGTTAAAAGCACAATTAGCAGTGAGTCTACAGGAAGAAAAAAATCACTTGTGTGAATGCCTCCTCTCCCACCTAAGCTCTGCTGCAGGAGGCAAAGGCTGGCTTGTTCCATCACTTTACTGGAACTGCACTCAGGGAGTAAATCACAGCCCTTAGCACTGTGCCAGCACAGACTTGCCAAGAGTGGTCACACCAGTGTCCAAGCCCTATGGACCACTGGGTCTTCCCAGAACAAATTTGTGCATTTAAGGATTGCGAGTTTGTTCTGGGGAAACTGCCACTTCATCCAGCTTTCATTAAGCGCCAACAAGTTTTTAATGAGAGGAAACTGGAGGTCCAAGCTGCAAGCAGTGTTTGCTGAGTGTAATCTCAGCCACACTTGTGACTGTAAATACTCCTACTACTCAGTATTACACCCCAAACAGCTTCTTCCTTCTCCAGACATCAAACTGAGCTCCTCAAGCTCAGAGCATCTCAGGCTCACTCCATAAAACTCCTGTCTAAGGAAGGACTCTCTTGCACATCAATTAGACATGTGAAGAACACAACAGCATCATATCAGCTAATGGGGCCAAGCCTGCCACTGGTGCTCCCCAGGGATGCCAGGATGCCCCAGGGAGCATTAGCAACAGACCCATCCTCATTTTCTGATGCCAGGAATGCAAACCCCAGGGTCAGACCCCAAGTCTCCTCCAGAGAGCATCCAGGTGATTGGCAGAGCATGCACACACCACCAGAGCATCATTTTGCTCTGGAAATTTATTTTCTTATCCTCAAGCACCATAAGAGAGAAGCTGGAGGATACCACTCACCTCTGCCACAGCTAAAAAGTCCCACAGCTGAACTCAAGTGTTTTTGAAAGCAGTTAAATAACTCCACCCATATGACAAAGTTGGGTTTTGTTTGAGCAAAGCCCTAGAGAACATCTGGGAAAGCAAAAAACTTCCAGCAGCAGGTAAAAGCCAAGGACTACCAGGGACACCCAGCCCTGGGCTGCACTGGTCAGCAGTCAGTGTGGGTGGGAATATTGGTTATTTGCACAAACAGTCTGTATCCATGGCTACTGCTATGGAAATGGAAACCTGCACAACAGAAGGATTTGGCTGCACCTCCCCATCCTCAATAATCTTTTGCTGAGATCAGGTCTGAAGGTTAGATCTAGGGGATGCAAGAACAGGGTGGAGTTACACAGGGTACTGGGTGCACTTTGGGGGTCTCATCTGCCTGGAAGGAGGCTCACCATGAAAGCCCAAGGGCCAGATGGAGCAGCACAGGACAGCTTGGCTCTGGAGACCAAAATGCTGACCAGGAAAAGCAGCTTCTCTGGTGCAGGCCACCTTTGGCATGGGAACTGAAGGAGAGGCTGCTTGTCCTGGGAGCAGAGACCCTGGCACAGCAGGACAGCTCCAGCTCACACAGCTGCCACCACTTTGATTTGTTAAATCCCAGGGACATCACAGCAGGACACAGGGTTTGGCTTTCCTGCTCTCCTCTGCAGCCATACAGCCCCAACACAGGGAGCAGGAGTGTCTGTCTCTTCTCTGCCAGGAATCAAACCATGACAGGGAGCATGGCAGAGCCCCACATCCCTCACACACAGCCAGGTGGGAGCATCCACACAGCACTGCTGGCAGCCCCTTCCCACAGGAAGCAGCTCAAACACTGGCTCAGCAGCAGCCAGGACCTGTCAGCTCTCACAAGCCAAGGTTTGTTTTTAGCATAAGGAACGCTCTGATTCAAAACTTGGCCCCTGAGCGTCAGCAAATGCAGGAAAGATGACGGGGACCCAGCAGTAGCTGTGAGCACCAGGCACTTCACTTTGGGTGGAGTATTGAGAGTGGAGGCTTAAGCCAAAAGTAATATTTCCTCATTTTCTTTCTATAATCTGAAAGTGTTTTAGTTGTTAAATCATCTTCCTGCCTTCAAAACAAACAGCTTTAAACATAAAGAGCTGGCAAGACGCTCCCTAAAGATGAGATGTGAGCAAACTGAAGACAAGCAGTCAAGAGCTGAGGAGATGCCAATGACAGGCTGGACCTGTTCTCTATCACCAAGCCAGCATCCCCATGTGCTCCCTGCCCAAACACAGCATGGCACACACTCACACTCCATCTTTCCAGGCAGCACACACACACCTCCCCCACCCCATCCCAGGGAGCTCATTAACAGCGTGCTAATTTGCTTAGCTTCATAGGGGAAATGAAAATCCAGTGAGAGCAGAAGCAGCATCCCAGTGCCCACAACCACATGTAACCTCTGACTCCCTCTGTGCAAGGAGACTGCACCAGAGAGATGGGAGCTGGCAGCATGGAATTCCAGGCAGTTGGAATGATGGCAACACACTTAGGTGATGCCAGGGCAGGCCATGAGTGAAGCTGAGTGCTGGTGGCAGGTTGATGGCCCCACAGATGACATGGGAGGAACAGGAAGCAACACCTTATACCTGTTCACTTAAGGCAGCTCTGTCACTGCTCTAGGGCAGGAACAAGAGGGGCATGTGATGGGCACAAGCACTGGAGGTGCTCCTGTGTCAGGGCTCTGAGCACACTATATGGGTGCCTCTCTTCCAGCTCAGCACCGAGCTTCCACCTTCCTTTTCACATCCTGACTTAAATTTAATTACTCCACATCTCGTTAAAACGATAAAGGTTCAGCCTCTGCGCCGTAGCTGAGACCAAACCCCGCCTGTATCCCGGCAGTTGTGCTCCCAATTCAGAAAGTCTCAGATTAATCCTGGCCGTGCCCTGAGCCCCGGCACGTTGGCACAGCATCTGCGCCGGCCCGTAAATAGCCCAGCTGCGGTCGTGCAGAATGGCACGGCAGCTCCACGGCACCGCCGCCCGCAGGGAGGGAGAGCCGGAGACCTGCAGGGCTCATCCAGCTCCAGATTTTTGTTTTGAAAATGTTTATCCACGTCTATCAGACCCAAGGCTTGGGAAGGTAGCAAGAACAGGCTGCCTGGCACAACACAGCCCTGAGGGCAGCCAGGCAGATGGAAAGGAGAATGTGCTCCAGCTTGGTTTTGGGAGTCCAACTACTCCTGTCCACGCTGCGGATGCAGAGCCCAGCTCTGCTCCCCTCTAAGGGTACAACCAGGGCAGGCAAAGCCCTCCCCACTGCTGGGAATTCGGAAGGATCAACTCCCCCCAGAGATGGGGCATCCATGGGTCTCCTTCCCCACCTAGAGATGGGCACCTGCAGCTACCCCAGAGCTTATCCCAATCCAAGCCAGCTCTCCTCAGAGCATGCAACATGACAGAGGGGGCAGGACCCCCCATACCTGCTACACCTGGACACACCCAAAGGGAAGAGCTGGCTCCTCTCCCAGGGAGCTGTGTGCCCTGGCTGTACAGGAATTTGGACACTGCCCTTTTCAGAGAGCCTCCCTTGGGTGGTTGTGTGAAGGAAGAGCAGAAGCTGGGATGCAGAGGGAGAGCCAGGCACGTCTGGACATGTCCACCCACAAGGGATACAGAGGAGACAGGCAAGGCAGGGACAGTCAGAGCCACAGGTTTGCTCAGAGGATGAATCTCAGGAGTTTTGCATGAACTCTGTGCCTGGCACAGGGTCTGGGGACTGCCTGCATCGGGGGCTCAGGAAGACTGAGCATCCCAAGGAGCTGGCAGGAATCCTGGCACGCAAGTTTGGGGCAGGAAGGATTGGGGGATTGGCTCTGCTCACAGCAGGCTGGGAGCACAGGGGCAGTAAGGGCACAGGGCTCCTGTATTTTTCCACATCTTCACAGCACATTGGCAAAGCTGGGTCTGAGAAGCAGCCAAGGGAGCAAAGGGAGGGAGGGAGCATTTTGGAGATGTCACCATCACAACCATCGACTGTGACAAGAGAAGGTGACCCCTGACAGCCACATGATGCTGCTGAGGGACCCCAGGGGAAAATGGGGTTATCAGCCCAGGCTACAGGCATTAGTGCTTCCAGGGCTGTTCCCATAGAGCCAGCAATGACACAGGGACAGCCCTAAAGCTGTGAGAGCTTGAGCCATAACAGGCTGCAGTCTTGGGGTGCTCAGAGATGGGACGGTACATTGGGCAGAGAGGGGGAGATGTCCCCTTGGTGCGACTGGGGCACAGGCTGTGAAGGTCCCCAGGGGGATATTTGTGGGCTGTAGCACAGGCCAGGGTAGCAGATGGAGCCTCAGAATTTGGGTGTAAGTGAGGACAAGTCAGTGCTAGCCAGGGATCCAGCACACAGGGATGTCCCCCAAGGGTTAGGTTTGAGCCTGGAGGTGGCAACAGGGCCCCTCAGGACTGGGGGCAGGACTGCAGGGCACATGGAGGGACCCCACTGGCATTGCTGCAAGACATGGGTGGGGCTTAGGGAATGGCTTCCTGGGAGCATCATACAGGAAAGGGAGAGTGGAGGGGATGGCTCAGCATGGGGGGATTGAGTCCAGAACTCAGTCCCTCAGGTGTGCTCAGGGTGAGTGGCAGCAAAGAGCCTGTGGGAAGCCCTGCAGGGACAGGACAGAGATGGGTGATGGGAGCAAGCCCAGAGCAGATACCCTAAAGAGAACCCCAAGCGTGCAGGGGTGACGGGTGCTCAGGGCACAGCGGGGAGAGCCCGGGGTGGTTACACTGGAAAAGCAGTGAGGCAAGGCGGGAGGAAGGGCACTGTGAGAGCTGGGGGAAGCTTTGGGTGCTGCTAAGCACAGGCAATGCCCAGGAAGGATTTGAGCAACAGGGTGATGGGTAGGAAGCGAGGGCAGCAGCAGCGCCTGAGGTGTGGGTGTCGTGGAAGGGTGTCCCTGAAGAAGGGAGACAAAACCAGGATGTCCTGCATGGAGCATCCCAGCAGCCACCGGCTCTGGGGGCACAGCCTGGCAGTGGGGCAGGAGGATCTGGCTGTGGGGGTCACTGATGGCAGGAGGGAGGTGGCAGACCCAGGTGCTCAGGGCTGGGGCCCGGTGACACGGGTGTCAGGGACAGGGAGGCCCTGGGCGCGGGAGGCGGCCCGGGAGGGCGCTGGGCCGAGCCGGGCTGCCCGGGGGTGCCGGTACCTTTGAGGGAGGTCTCGACGAGGCGCAGGTAGAGCTGGCTGCGCTTGTTGCCGTGGCTCATGCGCTGCCCCAGGCCGTGCCGCTGCAGGACGCACTCCTCGAAGCGCACCACGTTGGGGTGCTGCCGCCGGAGGCTCGTCAGGGCCCAGAACTCGGCCAGCGCCAGCTCCACGTTCTCGGGAGCGTCGCAGCGGATCCGCTTCACAGCCAGCCGGGCGCCGCTGCGGCCCGACACCGCCTCGTACACCACGCCGTAGGCGCCGCGGCCGATCTCGGCCAGCAGGGTGTACCGCGGGCTGCCGCCGCCGCCGATGCCCGGCCCCGCCGCCACCGCCGGCGCGCTGCCGGCCCCTTTAAGCGCTCGGCCAATCGCGGCCGCGCGGGGCGAACCACCGCGGCGCCGGGGGGGGGCGGCGGCCGCCGCGACGGGGCTCGGCCTCTCCCCGGTGCCGGCCCCGTACTCGGAAAGGGAGGCCCGGGTTTCCCGCCCCGGGAGCGGTAACAGGGTCGCGGCGCCGCCAGCGCGGTTCGGCGCGGCCGGGGCTCAGCGCGGCGGCAGGCCCCTCCCGCTCCCCCGCCACGGTGGTACGCGCCGCGCCGGTGTAAACAGGCCGGTCATAGGGGCCCCGGCGTCCGCCGCGGGTCTCCCCCGTCCGTCCGTCCGTCCGTTCCCTCCGCGGGCGGCCCGGGGGAGGCGGTGCGGGCTCGGGCCTGGCCCGCGGGGCTCACCTGGGGAGCGGCGGCGGGGGCTCCGGGCCGGGCGCTGCGCGGCGGCGCGTGAATGGGCGGGGTGGGGGAGCGGCGGCGGCGGCGGCGGTGGGATAAGAGCGTGGCCGCGCGCCCTGACGTAACCCCTTATGTAACGGCGGGGGGTGACCCGCCCCCACCAGCCCCCTCCCACCGCCCCGGGACGGGCGGTGCACCGGGAGGGCGGGATGCCCCGGGATGGGATGGGATGGGATGGGGTGGGGGGGAGCGGTGCACCGGCGGTAGCCGTGCGGTACAGGGGGGGTCCGGGTGTACCGGGGAGGGCTGTGTGTGATGCCGCCACGGGGGTGATGCTCCGGGACACGGTGCACCGGGGAGGGGGGCGGTGCACACGTAGGTGATGAGCCGGCGGAGAGGTGATTCCCCGGGGAGGGGGTGGTGCCCCGGGTCCAATAAATCCTGAGCACCCGGTAAATCCCCGGGACGCGCGGTGCTGGATGTTGGGCGAGCTGGCGCTGTGCAGCCGCACCGGGAAGGGGGGACATGCGGCTCGGGGCCGGTTTCACAGCTCCGGCAGCGTTCGGGGGCTCCTCTCGGGCGCCGCGCTCACCCCGACGGTTCGACCCAACTGTCGGGGATCACCGGGGACTTTCCAACTGGAAGTTCCCCGGGAAAGTGGCTGCGATCCCGAGAGGATCCCTGCGGGCCGGGACCGAGGGTTTTGGGGGCACCCCAGGGTGGCGCGGCACCCACCGGGTGTCCGTGTGGTGGAACGGGCACAGGTCACCAAGAGCGGCACGCGGTGACCGCCCTGCGCCGGGACCCGAGGGGCCGTGAGCGCCGGGCAGACCGCGGGGCTGCAGTGTGTCCCCCGGCATGTCCCCGCGGGGTTGAGGCTTGGCTGCTTTGGTGGCATTTCTCCTGCGAGCAGGTGGGGTGAACCACAGAGGTCCCTGTCCCACGCACCGTCCCAAAATTGCTTTTCGTTCCGCGGGCCGTGGGCATCACCAGTACCCGTCCTCTCCGGGCTGCCCGGAGGTCTCATCCTGTTCCTGGCGCTGCTGGCAGCCCCCGGGCTCGGGGCTTTGCACGCCGCCGTCCCGCTCCTGGTGGATTTGGGGAGAGAATGGCGACCAAACCCAAATGTCCTTTTCCAGCCGCGTCTCCCGCGTTCTCCTGCCCCCCGCGCGGCGCCGTTGGCAGCGGGCGCTGCGGCCGGTCAAAGACAGCGTCTGCAGAGCCGGTTCACGGCGGAACTCTCAAAATTCCCTGTTTTCTTGACCCTCTGCTGAGCCATGTGCCGCTGCCATCACGCAGCCCCAGCAGCTCCCGGCTGCGTCACGCCGGTCCCCCCGGGCAAGGGACGGCGACCCCCGGAGCCACCGGCGACTCTAATGCGGGGCTGCCCCGCGGTGTCACGGCGCCGGCTGCAGCTCCTGCAAGTGGTTTGACCTCGATTTGTTTTTAAATGGAGCCACTTCGCCTGCCGCGGAGGCTGCGGCGGCCGTGCCGCCGGTGCCGCTCGGCAGCCCGGAGCGACGGGGACGGTGGCAGCGGCGTGACTCGCCGTGTTTACGAGAGCGGCGCTTCTCGTACCGCCGTGGAGTGGCACTTGTGCCTCCTGCCCACGCAGGGAGGTCACCGTGTGCCCGCCTGGGCAGCGCTGACCGCCCCCTGCTCCGGTGCTCCCTTTGCCGGAGGCTCGCTCCGGTGCGGTCACGCTGGATCGGAGCTCCCGCGGGTTTGGAGGAGAACACCGGGCATCGCCCACCCGGCATTTCTCCCCATATCCCGCAAAACGCGTCTGAACACCTCCCTCTCCTGCCTACGGCAAGGCCAGGCAGCTGTGCAAACGTTTTGGGAGTTTCTGGAAAAGCTGTGTCGCTGAACGGGATAAAGCTGACCGTGCTGGAGGAGCCACGGCGTAGCGAGTGCCTTCCTGGGGAAGCTCCGGCCAGCAGCTCTGGGTCGCCGTCCCTCTGCTTGGGGACAGCCCCGGCGGCTGGCAGAGCTTGTACCAGCTGCAGGGGTGATTTAGCCCATCCCGGCACCGGGAGCCCTGTCTGGTCCGGGGCAGAGTCCTTCGGGGGGGCTCAGGGGCAGAGCGGCAGCGCCGTGTGACGCGAGCTGACATTAACTCCCACCTGCTCCCGCGGGTGCCTGGCACGCTCGGCCCCCTCCTCGCCGAACGCGCCTTTCACTCATGTAGTTGGAAAAGTTAACTTTTCTATTACCGCGCATTTCACTTACCCAGGTACTTAATTACCATTGTCCCAGGGAAATGTCAGTGTGACTCAGAGACGCTTTCCCATTAGGAGGAGACAGATGAATATTAAGTTGAGTTGCTGGTGGGTGGGCTGGCTTCCAGCTCCTCTCCCGGGGGACCCTGTCACCCTCCACGCCCTGGACCCGTGGAGGACCTTCTTACCCATGTCAGTAGATCTGTGGCACTTTGCTCTGGGGACGAGAGTAATTCGACCTCCCACCCGGCGCAAAGGGAAGGAGCCTTATTCCAAACTTTTCCCTCTGCGTCCTTGGGATTTATTCGATCTCTAACACATCTCCCTCGTGTGCAATTACCCTGTGCGGGGAGGTGACTGCACCCCAGGCCGCTGGGTGCGAATATACATATATACATATTCATATAGAAATAATGGCTTTGGTGTAGAAGTGCTCCACCCCACCGTGTCTGTGGTGCCATCAGTCCCAGCAGAAAGGGTTAAACTGCCCGAGGGCTTCCCACAGCCCTTCACTCAGGATGTTGTGGTCGTTTGCAGATGCTTTTTGTTCTTCTCAGCTTTGTTCTGTGCCTGCCCAGCCCGAGGCGGGGCCGTGGCCGCCCTCTGCCCCTGCGGGGCCTGAGCTCCATCCCCCCTCGCTGCAGCCCCAGGGATGGAGGGGTGGGTTCCTCCCTTGGCCCTGAGGAGGATGCAGGGCTCTGCCCTCGCCCCCCACCCCATGCCCTGCTCCCTTGGTCCCTCCGTGTGGGCACAGCCCCAGCCTGGATGAGTTAAAATCCACCTCCAGACAAAAGCCGTGGGGTCCCGCCTGCTTTTCAAGGAGCGGGGGAATGCCGACGGACCTGATCACCAGCCCTGACGGAGGACCACGGGCACAGGCTGCCGTGGCTGCTGGGTGCCCAGCAGAGGGGCCCAGCCCTGTCGATGGCCCCCACTTCCCTCACCAGTGCTGGGAGGGCTGAGCAAGGGGGCACCAGGTCCAGCAGCTGGTGTTCGAGCTGGGAGAACAGCAGGTTGCTGGGAAACATCCCTCTTGAGCTCCGATAAAAATAGCTCCATCTTCAAGGCAAGAGGACTGGCTGCACTGCCAGCGACGCAGGGGATGTGTCTGCACCCACCGGGGTGTGGGGGACGGTGCAGGATGTCCTGTGGGGTCTGCACCTTGGACCCCCATCCCACACGTCTGTTGTGACAGTGGGACAGAGGTGCAGGGGCTCAGGGATTGCCTGTCATTGCCCCAGTGCTGTTCTCCTTTATCCCCAAATCAGACTTGGAAATGTGTGAGAACAGGAATCAGGGCTGAGTGGGGAAAGTGGGGGCATCTTTTTCCCTCCATCCATCTCCCCCTGCCTCTTTGGCTCATCTATGTTTGCCCTCTTGAGGAGGAGGTTCAGGGAGATGTGGAGCTGGGCTCTGAGCCCTGGCATTGCAGAGGCTGGGGGGTTTTATGCAAAGGCTTTTTCACCTGACAGCAGCCAGGCTGGGTGGGTTGGGACATCCCTTTCCCGGGGCATGAAGACCCTCTCTCCCTTCCTAGCAGCTTTGGATGGGCTCACTTCTCTCCCCAGCCTCTCCACGAGGACGTGCCTCTCCCCAGCCTGGGGAGCAGGGTGAGAGAAGGTCAGGTCAGGTTTTCCCCCTGCACCCTTCTTGGACACGATTTGAATTCGGTGTCCAGGGGATTCACATCCCAGCAGCCAAACCCCTCTGGGACGCAGCTGTGTGGGAAGACGGACAGACCCCATCCCAGTCCTCTGCCACCTTCCTTGTTTGGGGCACGCGTTTCGGCCCCGAGGACCGAGGCTGGGCACTCGGGTGTCTCCAAGTGCTGCAGCCGCAGTGGTGGGATGTGCACCCCGATTCCCGGGGCGGCCGGGGGCTGCGGGGAGGCCTCGGCGGTGCGGGCGAGCCTGCTCGGGAGGTGGCGGGGATGCTGCGGGGCTGATTATTCACAGCTTCCCTCGCCCCGATTGGCTCTGCCGCCGCGCACAGCCGGGCCCCGCCGCAGGAGGAGACTCCGTGGCCATAAAAGCGGGGTGAGAGGCAGCCGGCGGCGAGTCCGGTGGACAACCCGGGCAGCACCGTGGGGCCACCTCCCAGTGTGGCCTTGCCACCGATGACTGGCGCAGCCTGACGCCCGTGGAGGGACACCCATCAGCCACGACCCGTCCTGACTTGGCGAAGCGGGTGCTCGGCGGGACGGGGAGCAGCGGCAGGTAGGGCTGCCGGGGTTGTCATCCCCCTTCCATGGCGTGGGCACAATCAGGGGATCGCTCTTGCTCCCCAAAAAGCAACAGTTTAAGAACACCTCCTGAGCAGCACTGCTGAGAGTGGCTTGTGGTTGGACTTGTGTTATTTTGGGGAGCTTCCACATGGCTGCAGGTCCCTCTTGTCCTCTGAAACCTCCCTTGAGTGGTTTCAGAGCCCATGAGCAGCTGTCCAGAGCTCTGCTGGGGTTCATTTCCGTGCTGATGCTGTGCCTGCCAGCCTGGCAGCAGAATCACCCAGGGCTTTGAGGGGTAAAAGGGAGTGGGCAGAGAGGATGGGGGGTTCTCTCTCCCTCTTCTTGGCTCAAGTAGCAGTGTGGCTGCAGTGCTTGAGTGATTCTATTCCAAAAGTTACCAGCTTTTTTGAGAAGCCTTGTCCTGATGGTGTTTCCAGGAAATTTTTGGAGGTGAGGAAAGGAGATGTTGGAAGGTTGATTGTTCTTCTCCACCAGAACTATGTGCAGGATCAAAACCTGTGGAGTTGGACCTGTGTGGGAGGAGGGATCTGCTCAGTCTGGGAGAGATGTTCACATCCTTCATTAGGTATAATCACAGGTTAGTGAGGATGGGGTCAGTCTCTGCTGTCTGGCACACACAGTCCTGATTCCTCATCCCTTGGGTCACCAGGTCTGTAATTGGCCCCTGGGGTGCATGGATGCAGCTTGGGGGTTTTCCAAAGCAAAGTCTGGTATTTGAAGACTCAAGTGGAAATGGGACAGGGGAGGAAGGGACACCGGCAGGCACCTGGCACAGGCAGAATGTGCTGAGAGTGGCCACAGAGGCTGGGACTCAATGCTGGCATTGCCAGACTCTGCCACAGTCCTTCCAAGGTGTTCCTGCAGGAGGGATGGCTCTGGAGCCTTGGGCTCCTCCAGGTAAAACAGGATTGAGCTCAAACTCTGCTTTTCTTTTTCCTCCCTTCGTATTTTCGCTTTTTCCTCCACCCTGCTTCTTTCCTCTTTTGTCCAAACCCCTTTGTTTTCTTCCCCTTTTCCTGCTCCCGTTTTGCCAATCCTCCTTATCCCACCTTCAGGAGCAGGCAGAGCACTGCTGGGACATTTGTGGCACCACCTGAACACGGTACATTTGCAGTGGGGTGTCCTTGGCCACGCCGTGCTCAGAGAACTGCAGCTCCCCTGAGTGCCATGAAATCCTCAGCTGGCAGTAGGGTGACAGGGATGGGACACGCCATGTCTGGAATGCCAGAGGTCCGAACTGTGCCGTGTCAGACAAACCAGCAGCTGTTCCCAGCATGGGAACATTCCCGGTGCCGTCCCTGCGCGCTGCTCTGGCGGCACCCACGGGGATACCGGCAGCGGAGGAGCAAGGGAGGGAAAGTGGGTGGGGAAAGGGAAAGAAAAGGTTCCCCGTGGGGCTCCTGTGAAGCAGTTATCAGCTCTTTTCGGGAGCTTCATTCCCCCTAGTGCTGCAGCTGGCACCTACCTGTGTGGATGGCATGTCCTCGCTCCTCGGCGCGGTCTCGGTGGCCCTGATGCAATAAGGGACTGTCCCCTGTCTCAGTAGCGAGGGCTGGCTGAGGTCCCACCGTGCCCCTGCCATCCTGGGCAGCTGCCATCCTGTTCCCTGCCACACTGCCAGGGCAATGGGAGGATTCACAGAGCTGGTGGCTGTGCAGCCAAGGAATGCAGACAGCTCGACACACGATGGTGCAGATAATTCAAATTAAATTTTAATCTAGCATGAATTAATACTGTGGCATTAACAATTCTTCATCAGTACCAATTACAGTACATTAGCTGCTACTGCTGGAGAGCACAATAGTCTCTAATATGCGTCATTAATGTGTAACAGATCCCTCTGGGTCATGCCTTACCCACCTTAGATAAAAGCAGCAATGGAGGCAGGCAGGGGTTTGCAGCCAGTGCACCCCTTTGGGGCTGGCTCTTACTCCAGGGCTATCATGGTCCCAGTGGCACGGTGATCCTGTGGCACTGCAGCTGGGATTGGCAGTGGCCCCTCCAGCCTCACCCAGGGTCAGGTTTAGCACTGCCACCTGCAGAGCCCCTCTCCCAGCTGAGCAGTGTCCTCGTCCATCCGCAGAGGCCAGAGGCTCCATCACAGCTCTCAAACGTCTGGAGGATGGTGATGGTGGTCTGCAGGTAGGCTTGAACCCAGAGTCCTCCTTTTTCTTCCTCTCCTGATGCACCAGCCCAGCAGACTTGGTGGGTGGGAGGGAGGGGAGATGAGGCTGCCCTGGTGTGGGGTACAGCAGCCTGGGGTGAGTCCACACTGGGCCATGGCATCACCCCATGCACTTGCTACCGCAGCTCTGCTTGCTGTGGTTCTTTTCCCCAAGGCCAAGGGAAAGAGCTGGGTGATTCATCTGCCTGCACCATGCAGACGTGGCAATCACAGAGAAACCCAATGCTGGGGAAAAAAGGGACTTTTCTTTCTAACGGTATAGTAAGAGATGGAGAGGATAGATGGGGTGGAACTGAGATGCAATGAGATGAGACATGAGGTGCAATAGTGGTCCTGCCCACAGTGACTTGGCCACCTGGCACTGGCTGTGGCTCTGTGTGTGTGCCAAGGACCAGGCTGCAGCCAGGGTAAGGGGTGTCTTGTGGTGTCCTTGCTGGGAGCAGCACCCGGAGGTGAGTCATGTGGGAATGGGCACAGGCACAGGTCCCTGTGTATGATCCCAGCAGCAGCTCACACATGGAGGTGGTAGGTGCCCAATGCCTGTGGAGTGGTGATGGCCCCGCAGAGCTGGCACAGGGATGGTGACAGGCTCTGTGCTCTGTCTTCCCCTCTCCAGGCAGCATCTGCAGGGCGAGATGGCACGGTGGGCATTGGCACTGACACTCTGCCTGTCCCTGTCTGCGGTGGCATCTGCTGACTGTGTCACGCAATGCTCCCTCTGCGCAGCCCAGACCCGCGGTGCCGAGAGCAGCGTCCAGCCCCTGGTGAGTGCTGGCCCCACACGGATGTGAGCCAGGGAGCCACAGCATTGAGTGTCACGGGAGCAGGGTGGCAGAGCTGGGTGGCACCTGGTGTGATGGTCACGGGCACCCCAGCGTGCTGGGCTTGTGCAAACTTCAGCTTCTCACCGAGCTGAGCAGCACGGTGGGCACGGACCCCCGGGCTTGGGGCGAGGGGGGGAGGAAGGCAGGGGCTCACCCCGAGCACCTGGGGCCGCGGCGGCCGCTGTCTTACAGATGTGCCTGTGGGAATGCCAGGGCTCCTTGTCATCCGGCCCCGAGTGGGAGATGTGCAGGAAGGCGCTGGCGCTCCTGGCCCCGCTGGTGGCCCTGGCCGAGGGGACAGACCCGTCCCCACAGGAGGCGGAGGAGGATGAGGCGCAGCCGGAGCAGGCTCTGGGCCCTGCAGAGCTGCCGCCGGCGCCGGCCAAGCGCTACGGCGGCTTCATGAAGATGATGTCCAAGGCGAAGCTGCTGTCCCTGCTCCGCGAGAACGCTCACGGCAAGGGCGGCCTCAGCAAGAAGTCCGGGGCCTTCAGCCGCAAGTCGGGCGAGCGAGCGGCCCCCGAGGACTACCCGGGGCCGGCAGGGGACGGGGACGAAGAGCCCACGGGGGCCGAGGCCGAGGGGCCGGGGCCGGCGCAGCTGCACAAGCGCTACGGGGGCTTCCTGCGCCGCATCCGGCCCAAGCTGAAGTGGGACAATCAGAAGCGCTACGGGGCCTTCCTGCGGCGGCAGTTCAAGGTGACCACCCGCTCGGACGAGGATCCCAGCGCCTACTCAGGGGAGGTGTCAGACCTATAGAGCCGGGCGTGCGACGGCAGCACCACGGTCCCCACACTGCCACCCCCACTGTGCCATCGCCCCCAGCCCTGTCCCCTGCCCAGCCCGCTGTGGCTGGTGTCACCCTTGCCTCGTTCCCTCAGGGCACCATGAGTTCCATCCCGTTGTCCCTCTGTGGTTCACCTGCCCATCCTGCGCACGGAGGGGACAGTGCCGCTCCTCCGGCTGCTGGCGGTGTGGCTGTGGCCCAGCCCAGGGTTCCCGGGGGTGTATTGCTGGGGACACAGATCCTCCATCCTCCCGCGGCTGCTGGAGCACAGCAGGGTCTGGAAACCACCACATCTGAGGTACAGGGCAGGGGGCTCCGAGCACTAGGGAGGATGAGCCAGGGCAGGATCGGGGAGGTGGCTGCTGTGGCCACGGGCAGAGGTGGCTGGTGGAGCCACAGCACCATCACCAGGTGCTCAAGCACTGCTGAGCTCAGCCCCCATTCCCCTCCCCAGCCTCTCACAGTGTCCCACCAACCCCAGCACCCACCTGGTGCCCCTGGGCTCCCCTCCAAGAGCGACTCTAGAGGCAGGGTCAGCCCCACGCCCCAACCCCCAACTCCCCCCCGCAGTCAATAAAAGGCAGATGCCAACAAAGCTGAAGCCATGCTGGGTGCTGAGCGTGCTCTGCAGGGCAGAGCAAGCACCCCAAACTGGGGTGCTCAAATGGATCAGGGGTGAGGGCTGTGACACCTGCAGGCAGCACACGATGGTATCCTTCTGGTGCCATGGGTGCCAAAAGGCATGTGGGACCCCACGCACCTCTGGGGCCACATCCTGAGGGTGACAGGGCCATCTCAGCTGAGCAAGGGCAGGGCAGGCATGCTCAGCCTGCTGCAGGGGTGTGTAGGGTGCTGGCAAGGTACCTCCTGCAGGAGCAGGCAGGGGAGACTCCTCTGGGAATCACAGCTGCTGCCCCAGCTGGGAAGGAGCAGTTGTGCTGAGAGCAGGGGGCACACTGTCCCTTTCCTCATATGTGACCCCTCCAGCAGAAGCTCGGTGCTGAGAAAGCCCAGCCTGGGCAGCACCTTCCCTTTTGAGTGTCTGTGTAGCCCCACAGGGCAGTTCCTGGCTCTGGTGAGACACAGTTCATGCCTCAGACACAGCCCTGGCACCAGCTCCAGGTTGAGAAAGGGGGGAGGTGATTGCAGAGCACTGGAACACTCAGCTCACTCACAGCACGGGCTGGAGCCAGCACCCAGCCTGCCTGCACAGCAGTGTGGGCACCCCAACTCCAGCTCAGCTCCCTGCACCTAAAGATGCAGCAGACCAGCCCCTGCTCAGTCCCTGCCCATGGGGTGCACTGCTCCCCTCCCTCATGGTGCCCAGGGAACCAGCACCCCAGCCCTCATCCCAGCCTTGACCTCCTGCCTTCCTCTTCCCTCCCTCCAGAGCACACGGCAGGGCTGTGCAGGATGAGCCCTCCTCTCCTCCCTGCAGGGCACACAGAGCCCCAACCCCACCCTGCAGCCCCAAGGTGACCCCCCCCGAGCACAGGGACACGCTGATGTGCGGGAGCAGCACAGGACTTTTCACTTTTATTATAAAAATATCTTGCAAGCAAAAAGAAAAAAAAAACCCAACAAAAAAAAAAAAAGTCTGTACAAGCAGTCACATTGCTCCCAAAGCACCCCCAAGGACCCCAGGTGCCCCCAAGCCCCCTGCATTTCCACTGCTGCAGGAGCCAATGAAGGGTGAGAGTCCACACGGTGGCCCAGGTAGGGGGCACATGGAAGACATTTGTCCCCATGGGTGGGCTGGGGGGAGCCTGCCAGGCCCCCAAGACAGAGCTGGGGTGGGGGGGAGCATATAAGTCTCTCATATAAACTCTGCAGGGTTTGGGGGATTCTTTACTGAGGCCTCAGTCTTAATTTTGCACATCTTATTCTAGTGTTAAGTACACAGCAGTACACCCACGTACAACACAAAACATTGGGGGTTTCAGCTCTAAAAATTAACAGTTACATGTCAAACAGTCAAAACATGTTACACGGTACCTGCGGGGAGCTCCCGGGGGGGAGCCAGGCTGGGGGGGCCCTCGCACGCTTTGTACAAGCCTGGGGCAGCGCTGGCGAGTCCCAGTGCAGGGCAAGGCTGTGCACAGGAAGGTGATGATGATGAGGAGGATGCTCGGTGCTGGGGAGCCAGACCTGGAGCTCCCCTGGACGGCAGGGCAGGGCCTCGGCTCAGTGGCCTTCCAGCCTCTTGGCCTGTGGCGAGACAGAGGTCCCGCAGAAGGGACACTTGGGAAGAGAGGCGGACACTTAGGTCCTTCCTTTAAAGCCAGAGTTTGGTGTCCAGGCGTGGTGGCAGAGCCCCAGAAGGCAGTGTGGGGGCCCTGCTGGTCCTGGGGAGCCTGTGGGCCAGGCAGTGGCATCCCCATGAGAGCTGGTGTGGAGGCACTGTACCTGTCCCCTCAGCCCAGCTGGAGCTTCCCAAGGAGCTGCTGCTCCGCTGGCTGAATCTGCTTGCGGGCAAACCCGGCACACTGAGGTTGAGCAACCCTTGATGGGGGTCCTGAAGGGATGGAGCTGGCGGCCCCAGGACCAAACTGCCCCCAAAAATCACGTCTCTCTGGATGGGAGAAGACCCCCACAAGTACTGCGGGCTCCATTTCCATCCTAAAACACAGGTACCGCAGCGCATTGTCACATCGCTCCCGCTGCTTCCAAGAGAACAGTCTCAGGGAGGAGCAGAGCTGTTCCCAGCAGGACAGGGGCTCCCAGCAGCCACTGCTCACTTCCTGGTGATCTGGACGCTGGCATACTCAGATCCAGCCTCCTCGGGGCGCGGGGCCGGCCGCTTGGGCGCCTTGCTGAGGTGCACCATGTCCAGGTCGGCGTAGGTGAGGTTGTCGTCGCCGTTGGGCGCCTGGTTGGTCTGGATGCAGGCGTACTCCGACTGCTGGCTCATCTCCACCATCCGCCGGATGCTCTTCCTCTCCTTGTCGAAGTTCAGGTCCGCGTAGGTCAGGTTGTTGGGGTCGGATTCCTGTGTGAGGCACCAAGAGTTCCTCCTCTGGGAAGATGCCCCTGTACCCACAGCCCCGTTCTGGAGTCAATCCCACTGCAGCTCGGCCTGGGGTACCTCAGCCTTGCTTGTATGGGGGAACAACACCAGCAGCCACCACCCTGAAGCCATGCTCTACCCCCCGCTACAGCTTCACTTTGTGAGCCACCCTGTCACCCTGCTCTGGCTTCAAAACCACTGCCACAATTCCAGAGTTGTCACTGAAGCCACTCCATCACTCCATCCCAGCAGGGCCAGACTGCCCAGTGATGCCCACGCGGGAGCTGGCAGAGCCTGGGTGGGATGGACAGATTGCTGCTGATCACGACTTCGCTCGTAGCTGCGTCACCAAATGCAAAATAACTCCACAAATAGCCTGGCTGGCTATTGCACAGCTGGTTCTCCAGGCAGCACCAACCCAGACTTTACTGGGAGGAGAAGAAGAAGGAGGAGGAGGAGGGAGGGTGAAGGCAGAAAAGATTCTGGGAAGTGGCTATCCTCTTCCGGGGGCAGCCTCTCTTCCACCTCCAGCCACAGAGTGGCGACACTGAGATGTTTCACTGGAGAACCACCACCCTCCACTCCCATCTCCAGTGGCTCCCGGCCACTCTCCCTCCCCAGTCCCAGGATGACCCACCTGGGTCGTGGCCTCGCTGCTCTTCTCTGGCTCATGTAACCTGGAAGGAGGGACAAAAACAGTCAGATAGATGGAGGGTCCTGTTGCCCTTTCCCTGGTGATGGAGCAGCTGGGGAGGTCAGATGCAAGCCAAGGTCCTTGCAGCTGCACCCAGCAAGACCTGAGCGGGCCACCAGGACCTGAGCATTGGCTTGTGCTGGTCCAGCTGCCTCTCTGCTGGCCAGAGACCAGCTCCCACCAGCCTGCTCAGCCCCACCACAAGCAAAAAATCCCCAGAACGCCAGCTGGGGAGATGGGCAGAGACTGTGCTCCTGCCTTCCCTTTCACAAATTTTGGGGATACAGCTCTGTCCCCAGCCTGAGGGACTCTGTGGACTGGAGATGTCCAGCTCAGAGTTCCCACAGGTTACTCAGTGACTAGAAGAGATTTGCACTCACCTAGCAGACGGTGAGCTTTTACCTGCTGAAAGAGAAGGAAAAAATTAGGGAAAAAATTAGGGAAAAAATAACTCAGGAAATAATATAAACGCCCCATTTCCCTGGGCACAGAGAACACATGCAGAGACTGTTTCAAGGACAAGGACACATCTTTTCCCAGAGGCAAGCACCTGCAATTCCCTGGAGTTTCAATCAATTTCATTCAGGACTGCTCCTGGGGGAGCACAGGAGGTGCAGGGCATGGTTTAGACCAGCCAGAGCTTTCCCTGGAGCCTGCAAACAACCTGGGCAGATCTATCCATCACCCCACTGGGCAGGACCTGCAGCTGCACTGCCAGGAGTTATTGTCCAATGGGGCAATGTGAAACCCATGGGAAAGAGAGGAAAAACGGGGTTGGGAGCAGCTGCCTCCCTGCCCCACACTTGGCTCCCTTACCCTTGATCTGCTTGGTCCGGATCAGGTACAGAATCGCAGCCACCAGCAGGGCCAGCACGGTGCAGACCACGCCCACCACGATGTAGATGAGCATATCTTCTGAAACATCAATGAAAAGGTCACCATGGCCCAAGAACGTGATACCTCCCAGTCCCTGCAGCCACACAACACGGATTGGCCCAGTGATGCATGAAGCACCAAGGAGGACAGCTCAGTGCCTGCCACCGTCACATCCCCCAGCCCCCTGATATGATATGGATATATATATCCATATATAGATATATCCTTCAACCAGATTTTAATTGGGCTTTGAGCTTCCTCAGGGGGTGACACCACACAGCCACCTTGGCAAGCACCCCCTCCCAGCAGCTCTGACGCACCCTTATCCATCTGGAACCCATCGATCAATCCCCCTGGGGCCGGGTTGGAGATCCACAGGGAGGCTGAGTAGTTGGCAGGGGCCTGGCCATCGTGCACCACCGTGCAGATGATCGTGGACCCGTTTTTCTCCTCCGTCGCTTGCACCTCCACCTGGCTTCTCAGCTCAAACAAGCCCCGGGGCAGCTTCCATGGCTGGGAGATGTTCTGCACCTTTATCTCAATCCCATTCTCCAGCCAGGAAACGGACACGTTAGCTGGGTAAAACTCCTTCACGAGGCAGGCGAAGGTCACGGTCTTGTTCACCTCAACGGGGCTGGGCTCGGCGCGCACTTCGACACTGGGGGGAACTGGGAAGAGAGGCAGAGCCTGGCGTTTGCTGTCACAGCTCTGCTGCCCACAGGGGGCCCTGTCCTCCTCCCAGGGACCCCAGCCCCACAGCAGCAGGACACCCCAGTGCGAGTCCCCAGCCCTCACCTCGCAGGACTCTGCTGAGCTGGTAGCTGCCACGCAGCGGGGCCGGCAGCGTGGGGTGCTGCACCTCACAGATGAGCTCAGAGGGGACATCATCCTTCTGCAGGGTCACCATCGCTGTGCTGGACATGTTGTAGGTTTTCCTCCTCCACTCGGTGACCTGGGGTCGCTGACCCACCATGATGTCCCTGTTCTTGAACCATTTCACCCCAATCGTTTCAGGAAAGAACCCTCCGCTCATGCAGGTGAAAGGCACCGACTCCCCCGGCCTCGCTCTCTGCTCGGGCCCAGACACGAGTGGGGGGCTGGGTTTGGCTGTGGGGAGAAGCACGGGGCCATCAGACCAGGCTCTGCCCCCTGCCCAGCCCTGGGCCTGGGGATGGCCCATGGGATCCTCTCCTGGACCAGCCCTGAGCCCCTTCCCCATCCCTGCTCTCCCTGAGCAGAGCCCACTGGCTGCTTCCCATCAGGAGCTGCTCCAGAGCCCTGCTCACCTTGCACAGACACCTCGGTGCCATTGCCACGCTGAAACACCTCATCATCACCAGAGTCCCCCTTGACAAACTTCACACAGTAGTAGGTGCCCATGTCCTCAGGCTGAACGTTCCTGATGAGGATGGTGAAGTCTGTGTCAGACCCATTCACTGCTCTCGTCACACGGGAGGAAGAATCCTGCTTCTTCTGGTCATAGACAGTCTTGTTCTCACTGCCCCAGCCCTTCAGCCACATCACAGGACCTGGTCCAGCAATTCCAGACGTGATGCAGTTCAGGGTGAGCGTCTCCCCTGCTGCCACCGTCACCTTGGCCTGGGGCTGCTGCAGACTGAAGCCCTGACCCCCCTGGGCATCCACACCTAGAGAAAAAAGAGACCACGTCTTGCCTGGCACCACACATCCAGACTCCTGACAGTTCTCCCAGCCCTGGGACAGGCTGAGCACCCCAGGTGAGGGGCTGTGGCCACAGGCACATTGCTCTGCCTGCAGGGCTCGGCAGCAGAGCTGGATGGAGCTTTGCTTGGTGACTGTGCTGTGCCCTGTATGGATAAATCATGGAGCACATCCCAGCTGCCCATGCCTCCAGCACGCTGGGCTGCCTCCCACAGCCACTTGGCTTTGTTAGCCAGGAGAAAGAAGCACACAAAATGAGGTGCTCCAAAGAGCCAGCTCCCATCACCAATGTGACACTGCGTTTTCTGTCCTGAATCTGTCCCATCTCTGCATGGAATCCCAGCCCTGGTTATCCCAGCAGAGCACAGCCAATCTCCCACCACTGCCAGCCAAGCAGGCACTGTTCCTGCTCAGCAACAAGCACAGGGAGACATTGCATTTGGAGCATCTCCATATTACTGGTTCCTAATCCAGTCACCTGTGCCACACCTCCCTGCACAGACAGACAGTAACATCCCAGATAACCCACACTACACACCCATGGGTACCCAGGGGTTAATTTTGTCAGTGCTTCCTATGCCAATATAGTTATTGCAACCAAATTCACAAAATGTTTCAATCCTGGTCACTGCTTAATGGAACATTTCTTTAAGCCACATGGGGAGAGGAGTGGGGGACCCACTTAGATCCACCTACAGGTAACAGGTGGCTGTGGCACCCAGAACCGGTGTCACTGTCACACAGAGATCTTTGTGTTTGAGCAGGTAATGCTGAGCAGCACGGGGAGCAGCACCCCACATCCCTCACAGCAGAATCATGGAATCACACAATCTGTTAGGCTGGCAAAGCCCTAAGATCGCTGAATCCAGCCATTAAGCCAGCACTGCCAAGCCCCTGACCAAACCACGACCCCAAGTGCTACATCCACACATCTTTTAAATCCCTCAAGGGATGGTGACCCCACCACTGCCCTGGACAGCTCTCTTACCCTTTCAGTGAAGAACTTTTCCCAAATATCCAACCTAAACCTAAACCTCCCCTGTACAACTTGAAGCCTCCTGTCCTGTTGCTTGTTATTTGGGATAGGAGAATGACCTCCACCTGGCTACAGCCTCCTTTCAGGGAAATCCAGGACAGCAACTCATGCCAAGGCTTCCCTTGGGACCCAGCAGGATAATCTCTGGCTGGACGCTCCCAGGAGGACCTGCTGCAGGACAAGCTGCTCTGACCCCTCTGGCCACAGCTGGCTATCACAGAGACCAGAGCTGATTTTTGGCAGCTGTTAATCCCTCCTGACTCACAGTGGTATGTGCTGTACCCACAGATGTTCTCACTGTTCCACTGTCTGTGGAATTACTCAATGTCTATGACCAGAATTACCAGGAGCAGTTTCTCCAGACTGCCCCAGTTAAAGGCTTTTTGCCCAGGGCATCAGTCCACAGCATCATCAGCCAAAACCTTCAGGCCTTGGTGTTTCCCTTTGAAACCACGTCAGGGTTAACGTGGCAGCAGCATTCAGCATCAGAACAAGTTTTTCCCACAGACAAGCACAGAGGGACAGAGCTGGTTTGTGTCACGTCCAGATGAGTCATTCACTCTGAGCCTTGGTCCTGCACCTGAGCAGTGGTGCCCTAGGCACCTGCAAGGCAACCCCGTGCTTCTCAGGTGACACCCAAATTGTGGGGAGCAGCCCTGGAGCAGAGGCCTCATGCACTCCATGTGCTGAACACAGCACTGACACAGGGCAAACACCACTAGATCTGCTTCTGTGGCATCTCCTGAACTTCTCCATCTCCTGCTGCTGAGAGACCTTTTGCAAGAAGTGATTGAGAAACACACAGAGGAAGTTCACAAGCACAGAAGCATCATCTCATCATCTGTCTCTCGCCAACCCACTGCACGTGGATGTGACACAGGCAGGGACCAGGCTGCCACAGGCAGAGACTGGCACCCCCAGCCAGCAACCACACCAGCAACCCAGCCAGACCCCCAGCCCTTCCATGTACCCAGGGGGCCACAACACCAAGCACTGGCTCCACCAAACTGGGCAAACAAAGCTCATTAGCAGGCAGCACCCAACACAGCAAGGGACACATCCCATGTGTGGCCACGGGAGCAGGAAGCCAGGGCCACCCCCACCACACACTCTGTGCCCTATGATGAGTGAGTTACTCACTGCTCCCCTCTGCAAAAGCAACTTCTGTGGAGTGCTTACCCCCATGAGGGTCCCCTGCACTGGGTAGAACTGCCTGCACCGCCCCACACAGCCCAACCTGAGCGAGCCGAGCACCTCCTCCTCATCCTCCCTCTCTCCATCTGCCCATTTCCCCATGAGGCACGTGGTGTGCAGAGGGAGAGAGCTGGGGAAGTGCCTGCTTTGGGGCCCCAGAGCTGACCCCAACACCAAAGAGTGTCAGGGTGGGCACTGCTCAGCCCCAAAGTTCATTTCTTGGTTGCAGTGAAGCATCCACAGAAGCACTGAGACATCGAGCTGAGTGTGGCTGGGTGCCCTGCCCGTGGTTGGCTGCCATGCCTGGTGTGCAGCAAGGGCTCCCCACTACCTTGGCACAGCACTGCCTTGCTGGAACTGCAGGGATTTATCCCTGCAGGCAGCAGGGATCTCTCCCAGGGTCCAGATTTGCAGCCAGAAGTGGATGGTCTGTATGCATTCCACAGCACCGAGCTCACATTCCCTCCTCACCGGGGCAGCAGCGTGCCTGCCTCCTCTGCCCAGGGATTAGCAGGCACAGAGCATGTTGTCGTCCAGGGATAGGATGCAAGGTGCTTTCCTGCTTTCCTGACTGCAGTGCTCCCAGAGGATCGAGGGGAAAAAGGGCTTCACGCTGCCGGCAGCGCCGCCTGTCCAGAGGCTCCACTGCTCAAGACACCGTGAGGCTCCAGGCAGCCCCTCACATAGGAATGAAATGGGGCTTTGGGGTATTTTTCCACGTGTTCTGCTCTGTTACCTCAGAGACCCTCACCCAGCTCTGCTCAGGGATTTCTGATCTCTGACACACAAGCTCCAGCCACCATCCACCACAGGAACACCCCAACAAGGACCAGCTCGTCCCTCCTGGCTGAGAAGCAGGAGTCCCAGCCAGACCTGGCTTCTCCACTTCCTGCCTGCATCCATCATCCCACACCAGGACCAACCTGACCCCTTCCTGCTCAGGATGACCCCAATCCCCTGCAGCAGCTCAGAGCAATGCCCCCACCCCTCCACCCCAAAGGGAAAACACAAAGGGGAAGTTGGCAGAAAACCTCAGAATACACAAGTTAGAAAATGCAAAGTTTCCACCAAAGCTTCTTTCCTCTTTCTCCCTGAACACAGCTTCTCCTCACACGCAGCTCATGCCTGTCCTTCCCCTTTTGAGGTGTTCACCCAGTGGGAGTGAGAGCCCAGCCAAGCTCCCTCCCAGCAGCTCACGATGTGCTTGAGCACCAGGAGTGGGATGTTGGGAGGCTACAGGCCACAAAAACATGGGACACGACAATTTCTCACTGTTTCCCTGCTTCTCCCCTGCTGCCTGATGACACTTTTTCCCTGAGACTTGGATTTCAAACCACCAGGAACTGGAACATGATCCTCTTGCCCCCAAGATCATGGGGAATTTAGGTGCTCTGACCCTGTAATCTGTTCTATCCTACACTCCAGAATTAGCCAAGGGTTTTAGAGCCCTGAAAAGCATCACCTGACAGTTCCCACGTAGGTGGGAGCACCCTTGCAGTGCAGACCCAGAGCACTTCCAGCCCAGAGCAGAGGCAGGAGCACGATCTAGCAGAGCCTGCCTCCTTCCCGTTATTCAGTTTAATTTGGGAGCAAAATAATCCCAGCTCTTGCTGCATTGCAAGTTTTCCACGTTGGTGACACATTTTTTTCTATATTCCACCTTTTGAAGTATTTGATATTGAACAGATTGCAAGAGGCTGGGGTTTAATTCAGGAGAGGCTGCTTGGATGCTTCCTGGTAAAAATAGATTTTTTTCCTCTGAAGGAGCTGGGTGAGGAGCTCCGGGATGGCTGTGTGCTCCAGAAACGACGTGCAGCTGGTCACCGGCATCCGAAGCCCCACAGTCACTCACTGAAGGAGCAGGCCAATGGGCAAGGGAACCCCAAAATAATCCTGCTGGAATTTCACCTGCAGCAGGGCTGCTAGGGGCGGAAACTAACAGGTGCTGCCTATAAAAGGCCTGGAATCTGCTGTTTAGGGAAGGCAAGGAGAGCCCTGGGGATAGCTGCTGAGCCCCGAGCAGACCCCAGGGCGCTCAGGGAGGGCTGCAGTGAAGGCTGTGTTTCACATCCGTGACATCAGAGGAAGCCTCAGCTCACACACAGCCACCATTTCCAAGCTCCCCTCCTCCAGCATCAGCAGAAATTCATCCCAAGAGCCAGAGCCCCAGCAGGAAACCTAATTCCCCTTTGGAAGAGGCTCTGTGAAGCACAGCTGAAACCCTCTGTGGAGATAGACCGGTGTGGAAGGGCTCTGCAGGGCGCAGTTTCTCAATGGGGCTTTGCTGTTTGGTTTCCCACATCTCGCTGCCTTTGCCCCACAGGAAGGTCTCCTCCAGGACCTTTCCTTTTCCCCTTCACTTCTGCAGAAGCTGTCAGAACAGCCGGCAGTGGGAGCCTGGGCCAACTCTGCTGGAGTTCAGCTTAGTTTGAGCCACGGCCCAGGAGGGATTCGCCATATGGAAAAAAAAGACGTGCACGTTTGCACCTAAAATCAGGGATGCAAACCACTTCAAAACCCCAGGGTGGTTTTTTTCCCATGGCTGGCTCAAAGAAATGGGGTTCTCACTCCAAGACCACATTTAATTAAGTTCAGGAGGTTTGCTGGAGCTATTCTTTCACGCAGGAAATCGCAGTGGCTCACTGGGAAGCCGCGCTCACCGCCAAAGCCTTCTTGGCTCTCAGCAGCCGGAGTTTTCAGTTTGGGGCCAGCACTTCTCAGCTGTGATCAGGCGACTCAAAGCAAGGAGCGTTGTGCTGAAAGCATTTGCTTTCTACCCAAGTTTGCATCCAACTCTTTGCCCAAGTAAAGCTTTGATGGTAACTACTTCAATGGGCATGGGAGAATGTGGGTTTCCCCCGCGGAACCTGGGCCGGGCTGTTTGTAGTGGGATCTAGCTGGAAGGGATGGGGCTGGAATTGAGCAAAAAGCTCAGCAGCGAGAGGCTCCTGAAGATGCATCGTTATTGCTGCAGGTTTGCCTCAAAAACCCCATCCCTCCCTTGGCAGGGAGAGCGATTCCTTCGAAACCACCCAAAACGAAACACCCTAGAAAGGAAACATCCTTGAAAGCAGCAGTCACCACAGGGCTTCGTTCCTGGTGGGATGAGACACTTCCCGCTGCCGGCAAGGGAAACAGCCAAGAGTGGCATACTTTGTCTGGTCCTTTGCTGTGTCCCCCAGCTTTATAAAGGACTGGGGGAGCCATGAGCCCGTGGGAGGTCTGGGGCACCCTGAGCCTGAGGCGACACAGGACTACACGGCACAGGGTGCCTAGAGGTGTTGCAATTCCACCGCTTCAGTGCCCAACAGTTGATAGAGAGAGAGCCCACAGTGGGGTGAAGCAGGAGGGCAGCAAGAAAAACAAGTTCTTGGCAGAGAAGACAGGCAGCCCTCACCAAAGCCTCCCCATGCCTCCTCCACTGCCATCTCCAAGTGGGAATTCGGGCTGCTTGCTGAGTTTTGCCTCACCCATAGCTGGCAGGGGGTGCTCGCAAATGGGTGGGAACAACATGCCTCTTCATGCCCCTGCCGAATTCCCTGCCTCGCTGGGAAAGGGCATGCCTGCCTGCCTTGAAGTTCGGTTCGGGAAGAACCGCAGGGCAAGGGCCCGCGGGAGCCCCTCGGCCACCGCCGCGCTCTAGGTCACCGCAGGAAAGGTCAAAGCAACCGTGCGCGGAGAGGCGGCGTCATGTCGGTACCGGAGGGGTGCGGGAGCGGGGAGGGGAGAGGAGCGGGGAAAACGGGGAACGGGGCAGGGAGACCGGGGGGGAACAGGGCAGAGGAGAGGAGCAGGGCGGGAAAAGGGGCAAAACAGGACAGAGCAGGGAGAGGAGCTGTGTGAGAGGGAAAGGTGGAAAACAGGACAGAGGAGGCAGGAGCAGGGTGGAAAAAAGGGGGAAAACAGAGCAGAGGAGAGGAGCAGCGTGAGAAAGGGGAGGGCAGAGCAGAGCAGCAGGGTGGGAGGGAAAGGGGGGAACAGGGCAAGGAAAGGAGCAGGAAGGCAGGCAGAAGCCATGGCTTACCGGGCAGGGCGAGCAGCAGCAGGCACGGCAATGCCCAGGCGGTGCGGCCGGGATCCCGGGGATGCGGCTCCATCGGTGCGGGGAGCGGAGCCCGCGGCTTCACAGCGCGGCCCCGCGCCCGGCTCGGCGGCTGGGTTTGATAAATAAGACAAATTTAAAAAAAAAAAAAAAAAAAAAAAAAAAAAAAAAGGCAAGAAGCGCAGAACTGCAGCTGGCGAAGGAAATCGCTCTTCTCAGCCCCAAAATGAGGAAGGAGGCCGGGCTCCCCCCTTTCTCCCCCCGCGGCGGGCGGGCAGCGCACACGCACGCACCGACACGGACCCGCGGCCCCGCCGCCGCCCGTGGGCACCGGAGCGGGCTCGGGGCCGCTGACGGGGCCGCGGCGGAGCCGCCTCCCCCCGCCGCCGCGCCGCCTCCGTTGCCGTGGTACCGGGGAGGGACGGAGCCGGCCCCAGCTTCCAGACCCCCTCCGGCTCCCAGCAGCCCCGGTTTAGCGCCGCTTCTCCCCGTAGCGGGGGCGAAGCCAGCCCCGCCCGCCCCGGGGCAGAGTCCTCCGGTCAGCCCGGTGTGCGGCTGCCTTAAGGTGGGCTGGGAGGCGACCCCCGGGAGCGGCCGCCAGGAGCCCCGCCGCGCCCGGTCCCTATCGGCCGGGGCAGAGGGAAGCGGCTCCATGGCCCCAGGGATGGGGGCTGGGTGTCCCTTCACTGGCCGCACCACGCTGCCGGTGTAGCCACGGCTTCGGCACGGCCACAATACACAGCCCTGCATCCCCGAGCTGGGATCGGGGTGCAGGGACACAGCCTTCGGGGTCCTGAACACCCGGGAGCACCAGGGGCTGAGCCAGGACAGCCCGGGGCAGAGGCACACACAGCACACGGCCTTGGGGGTCCCGAGTGCTCTCCCCAAGGGACCGCGGAGGGCCGAGCTGTGAAGCCGTGGCAGAGGCACGGGTGGTGTTCCGCCGGTGCCACAGGGACAGGTCAGCTTGACCCACGGGGCTCAGGGCCAGGAGGGGACACTGGTGCAGCGCAGACAGGCAGAGGGTGGATGGGGAGGGAGAGGAAATTCCTGCGCAGCACGCTGGGAGAATGGGGACATCCCCGTGATGTCCCCTCCGCGGGAGCCTGCAGCAGGGAGAAGCGAGAGTCTGAGGACGAGGCAGCTGTAATGGTAGGCAGGGCTGAGGAAGAGGGTGTCGGGGCGTCAGCATCCATGGGATTCGTGTCCCTGCGCCGCCCTGCTTCTCCCTGACACAAAGCCCTTCCCAGGGGATTCGCAAGGACACATTCTCCACTGCCTGCACCTGTCACAGCTTCTCACACAGCCCAGGGGCGCTTCAGCCAGGCCAGGCCAGGTACCTGGGATGCCAGGTGCAATGCTGGCAGCTCCCTAGCACCTCCCCACTGTCCCCTCTGCCCTCGCAGGGATGGGGTAGGCACTGCAGAGCAGGAGCTCCCAGCCCACCCAGCATCACCTGCAGCACGGATCCCACCCTGGGCCGGGTCCCCGAGGACAGCACTGGGTGCCATACTGGAGGACCCGCTGCCAGCTCCCCCTCCTCCCCTCGCTCCCTCCGCAGGCAGCCGCCAGGGCTGTCGGTTTTATTTAGAGCCTCGCACAAACACAGCCGAGATATCTGAAGTGACTTGGCACCATCAATCTGCGCACGGCGTCCGCCTGCGCATCCCCGGCCCCGCCAGCCTCCCCCTCAGCCCCAGCTACGCCCATGGGGCACATCCAGCCTTAATTTAGCGCTGCTGGGACTGGGAACAGCTTCCCAGGCTTCTGCACCCACCTCCCTCTGCAATTCCCTGGCAGCTGGAGGCTGCGCTCAAGGGATGTGGCCAGTACTGCTCCCACTGGAAAAACTTTGTGGCCAGCAGCACTGGTTGTGGAAAACCCAGCACAGCCATCATTTCCCTTCACAGGGCTGGCCAGAGTGGCCAACAAGGAGCAGGGGTCCAGAGGAGCCCTTGGATTTGGCCTTTTGCACACAGCAATAATTTCTTTGCACAGGGATGGGACACAGGGACACATCACTACAAGAGTCCACAGGCACCTCACAAGAGGAAGCAAAGGTGCTGAGCTCTGCTCTGTGGTGACCAGCAATAAGACTTAAGGGAACTGCATGAAGCTCTGTCAGGGAAGTTTGAGGCTGGTATTAGGAAAAGGTTCTTCTACCAGAGGGTGTTTGGGCACTGGAACAGGCTCCCCAGGGCACTGGTCACAGCCCCAAGCCTGCCAGAGCTCAGAAAACATTTGGACAATGCTCTTGTCCCCCCTCACAGAGGGGATTCTTGGGGTGTTCTGTGCCAGGACAGGAGTTTGACTTGATCCTTGTGGGTCACTTTCAGCTCTGGATATTCCACAGGATTAGCAGTGGTTTGTGGAAACCCTGCAGCTACACCACCAAGGGCAGTGCATCCACCTAGCCCAGGTCCAGAAGCAGAAACCCTCAGGACAAGTGGGTGCCCAGCAGGAGGGCAAATTCCAGGGACACACTGCAGCCATTCACAGACACCTGTCCTGGTTATTTTTACGTGGAAGCACAGATCCTGGAGACCTGGTTGGCTTCAGCCTGTCTGGGATGTTCTGCTCGGTGTTGAAGGTTCAGACAACCTGTTCTGAGGCGATTACAGAGCAGAGCCAGCCCGCACACAAGCAGCAGCCACGGCAGAGCGCTCAGGAAGGGAAGTTAGAGCTCAAAAAAGCTCTGCAAGAGAAGGTACCGCGCAGAGCAGATGGTGCGGCGCGAGCTTCCCGGGAAGAGCTGCTATTGCTCCCCATTAGGAAGCATATGGGCAGGCTCAGCTGCCTCCCCTCCTACCCATGGCCCTTCAGCATCACAGGGGCCCTGCTCCAACACGAGATGTTTGGAGGACTCACCCTGGCAGGGCAGCCCTTGCCCTGCACTGGGTAGGGAACCAGGGGGAGAGGAGCATTTGGCTCCTCGTGCACCTGAGACAGAGGGACAACGCAAAATTTCGGGAGTGCAACTCTGCCATCATCATCATCATCCTTCTGTACAAAACACCCACGGTGAGCAGGAGGCTGCAGCACTGCTTGGCAGGGCGGGCAGTGCTGCCAGGCTCTCTGTGCTGCCAGCGGGCACCCAGGCTGTGCTCGCTCTGCAGCATCTCCATGCTTCAGCTCAAAAGCCCTGCTCTGGCAGGGAGAATTCCAGAGCTCGGCTCTCCCCGGCCCCAGGAGCTGGGCAGCAGCCAGCATGGGGACAGGGCAGTGTTTCTGGAGAGCTCTTCAAGAATAAGTTGATTCTCACAGCTTTGAGGCACAGAGAGGAACTCGCATCACTGTTTGGGGAAGGCACGGGCTCCGTGTGGCAGGGCTGGGCCAGGCTCAGCCACCCCTGGGCAGGCAGGGGTCTGCTCCCCTTCCCTATTCCCAGCCAGAACTACAGGCTCAATGTCCTTTTTGCATTCCCTTGTTCCCAGCTGGGCAGCTCTGCAGGATCTGCTCCCTCCCTGGGAGAAGGTGGGGACCCATCCACACACAGGGACCCCAGCCAGAGCAGCAGCACCCCATCTCTTGTCAGAGCCTGGCAGCATCCAGTGGGAACAATTACAGCTGTGCCTGAGCGATCCCAGTGGAAAGTCCTGCAGCACTGGTTTTGCCCAGACTGTTCTTTCATGCCTTAATCAGCTGCCTGTCTGATCCTCTCCCAGCCCCGACTGCCCCCGCGAGCAGCGGTGGCTCCCTTGGCTGGAGGGGATTCACAGGGGATGGAGCTGGGAGAGGTTCCAGTCTCTGCCCTGCAGGGCCAGTCCTGGGCCTGCTAATGAATCCCATCTCACTGATGGAGGTGACTGCAGTCTTTCTCTGCCTGGGACTTTGTCCCTCCTGGTCCCCACTCCAGCAATGGGATGGCACAGTGGGCAAAGTACCAATAGCCTGAGTGGCCACCTCACACCTGGACACAGCAGCTGTCCCAAAATGCTCAGTCCACGCTTCAAAATCCAAACCAGCTTAGGGATACAGAAAAAAGACACCAGTACTTTGGACATCAGCCTGGAAAATACCCCAAATTCAGCATCCAGAGGTGCTGTTTTGGGGCTGTGGGCACAGAGCCATGCCCAAGCACCAGCGAGCAGCCAGCACTTATGGGAGCACTCCACAGTAATGACTCAATGATCCTAGAGGTCTTTTCCAACCTCAAAGATTCCTTGATAAACCAAAAAATGCAGTGCCTCAGGGACTCACCACCCTGGGGAAACTCAGAGCTATCCTGGCCCAGTCCCAGCCACCAACACCTCCCAGCCCAGCCCCCCGAGAGGTGCTGCTTTCACAGCTCACCACAATAAAACACCTGGTGGGACCACATCAGAGCACCAGGCCCACACAAGGTCTGTTCTGGCACCCACAAGCCTGTGCAGCCTTCATACAGCTTCATGTTCTCCCCATCCATCCTCCAGCTTCAAAAACAAATTCCAAGACCTCAAGATCCAGGTGGACACATCCTACAGCCTCCCCCCACCCCTGAGGCTTCAGTCAGCACCCAAAGAGGGCTCTCAGCTGGGAGAGAAACACAAATGTCTCTTGAAGCAGAGAGCACCAATTACACTGCTGATATTTAGGGCTTCCAGCACAACAAATGGAGCTGCAGCTTCATTAGGTACCTTGCCAACTTAATCTGAGACATGCAGTACAGGGGAAGCTTAAATTAGTTTATCTCATGTTAACTTATAACAAGCAATATGTTAATGTGGGCATGGTTTTTATGGACTGTGACCCAGGGAAGGGGCACCCACAGCCCTCTAAAAGTACATTTAAGAAGCAGGGGTATGTAGCCTACCTGTCTCCTCATAATCCTGTCATAACATCCACCACCATAAACACCTGCACTGGGGAAGGGGTGCACCACATCTCCCCCTTATATGGGAGAGGGTGATGAGCTGCAGGGGTCTTGTTAAGGCTGTGATTGCCAGGGGAAGGGTGGGGTAGGATGCTTTGTGAGCAGCCTGTGCATGGGTTTGCTGCTCACCTCATGAGGGGCTCATGGGAACTACTGTAATTGTTTAGCCAAGCTTTCATTGGGTGATTTAGGAGTTACAGCTGAGTTATTTCAGCTCTCAGGTCTTTGTTATGGCTCTGGGGTGCATTTGGTGTGGGGGGATGTGTGGGGTGGAGGTGAGGTGCTCCCTGGCATGGGGCATTTTCTGAGGAGGCCCCTCTGTGCACACTGCCCAGACCCCCTGTTTCTGCCCTGTCCTTAGGGAGCAGGGCTTCAAATCGCAGCCCACTTAATTTTAGTGTCCCTCTGCCACTGAATTAATCCCCAGCACTGCCAGGATCAGCTGGTTCTGAAACGACTTCCAGGGAGGATGAGGCAGGGATACAG